GGAAGGACGGAGCGGAATCCCAGGGAGGCAGGAGCAGTCACCCCGGGAGGAAGGAACGCAACCCGGCCGCAGGCAGACGCACAGCGGCGGCGGGCACAAAATCCTCGGCAAGCCTTGAGGAATCCCCGGGAGGCAGGAGCAGTCTCCCCGGGAGGAAGGAGCCATGGACAGATGAGAGGCCAGACAGGGTCCCGGAGTGCGCCACCCATGGGCCGATGGAGCATGGGCGATGTCCGAAACTGTCAAGGCGAGAGGGGGTCCAGGAGTGCGCCACCTAGGCGCCGATGAAAACGTGAGTGGCGTCTGGATATCCCCGGAAGGCAGGAGAGGCCAGACAGGGTCCCGGAGCGCGCCACCCACGGGCCGATGGCAGCATGGGCGACGTCCGGAACTGTCGAGGCGAGACGGGGTCCAGGAGTGCGCCACCCAGGCGCCGATGAAAACGTGAGTGGCGTCTGGAACCGCCGTCGAGGTGGTGAAAAAGGTGAGAGTGTCCACACGAGGTCATACAGACATAAATAAAGCAGCGACTGTATTCGCCATGACACAGACAGTCTGTGGTTTGTACATGTTTACCTTTTTCCAGTTTCTGAACAGATATGAGGAGCTGTGAGCTCTGAGTGTGTGCTAACGGCTGATGTGTTGGGACATATTTAGCTGTCGGGTGTTGACCAATCACGAAGCGTCATTTCTTGACTGGCAGCAAAAACAACCAATCACAGCAGTGCTTCTCTGGCTGGCTCTGTCCAATCACAAACATCACTAAAGGAATACCCTTTCCGTCCAATGTGAAATGCTGTGGTGTTTTGTGAAATGCTGTGGCGTTTTCTGAAATGCTGTAGTGTCTTGCACTTCAGGGCCACCGTACTAATCAATATTAATCCAACTAATGTTCGTTTATACATTTTAAGAATGGCGTTTATCTTTTTTGAGAATGAGTTCTTATTTTATTTATTTGGGTCTACAACAGATGATACACATGTTTGTGTCAGTAAATGTGTAGGCGGGGGTGTGTGTGGAAATAACGGGGACAGAGCTGGCTGCTGTCAGACGATCAGCTGTGGCAGCGTCATCACAAACGGACGTCGCTTCACGCTTCACACAAATGCAGAGAGATTCACACACAGAAAGCGTTTTTTATATAAATGTAACAACACTCAAATGTGTTTTTGATGTAACTATTTGTGTGTGGATGAGAAATATATTTGTGAAACTTTTTTACATTTATAAAATGATAAGTTTGTGTGTGTGCATTAAAAAATATGTGTGTGGACGGAGACATTTATATATAACTCCGGAATTACATTTGTGTATCCTTTTGTGTGCCTTTATTTATTTTTGAGACTGAACTGACCCCATACATACTTGCCAACCCTCCCGATTTTCGCGGGAGACTCCCGATTTCACTGCCCTCTCCCGGTTTCCTCCCAGGGTCATATTTCTCCCGCATTTCTCACGATTTCTGACAAAATCAGATTTACTCACGACTGTTTCCACTCGGACTTTAATACGGCTACACCATTGTTTGGTTTCCATGGTAGCGCGTCTCTTTAGTAGCGCGCAACTGAACGTCTGAGAGAGTGAGAAAGATAGTCACAGAAAACAGAACAAAAATCGACAATTCTACCCACTCCTCACTCCCACCCAGCTTCCCCAAATGTCTTTCTTTTTGGTGTCTATATACGCCGGGATCCGGAGTCATGGATGATCCTGCGCTCCTCTGTCCTGGATCGCGAGCCCTGGATCTTGAGTCGTGGCTGTGGTCCTGGATCATAGGTCCTGGATGGATATCCTCGTGGATTCATCTTCCTATTATACACACACGCATTTCCAAACATTTGGACTACCTATGTTGCAAATGTATTATCTTTTCAATTTACACACGGCATCTATTGCACGTCTGTCCGTCCTGGGAGAGGGATCCCTCCTCTGTTGCTCTCCCTGAGGTTTCTCCCATTTTTCCCTTTAAACTGTGGGTTTTCTTCGGAAGTTTTTCCTTGTACGATGTGAGGGTCTAAGGACAGAGGGTGTCGTATTGTCATACTGATATTTTGTACAAACTGTAAAGTCCACTGAGACAAATGTAACATTTGTGATATTGGGCTATATAAATAAACATTGATTGATTGATTGATTTCCTGGTCCAGCCCACACATATGCTGGTGCTACAGGCCGCAAGGCAGTGCACTTACAACTACAATACGCATGTTTATGTTAATCTATCTAGAGTGCTGTCATGATCTTTAGAACCAAAGAGGATAAATGTCTTACATTTCCTGATTTTAAATTGTCTGATATTAATCTTAGTGTCTGTAATAAGTTAAAATATCTTGGACACTTTATTAGAACAAATGACAGATGATGAAGATATTTATAGGCAATGACGCATGATGTATGCACAAGCAAACATTCTCCTAAGTTTGGTGCATGTACAGATGGAGTGAAGATGTCTCTGTTCAGAGCATATTGCACACCGCTCTATACGGCACGGTCAAACTACAGAAAAGCAAGTTTACGGAAACTTCAAGTAGCTTACTGTATAATGATGCCATGAGAATATTGCTGAAGAGACCTCGATGGTCTAGTGCAAGTTAAATGTTTGTGGCTGCAGGAGTCAATACTCTACAAGCTGTTGAAGAAATCTCATGTATAAATGTATTTGCTGGCTTAATGACTCTGATAATGAAATCCTCTTGGCCTTATCGAACACAAGGTATCAGGGGCGGTTCTAGGGGGGGCCAGTGCCCCCCTAACACTGACCTCTGCTCTGACCCCCCTGTGGCCCCCCTAACAATGAATTTAAAAAAAAAAAAATGTATATTTTCTGGTACTCGGTTTGCCAAAAACCGCAGGATTTTGTTGCTGTAATGTGAGATTGTGCAGACACCCTTATGTAAAGTAGAGATGTAACTGTTCATTGCCTTTATTTTTATATAAATATGGTGTTAGTGCAAACATTGCACTATAACTTAAGCTGAAGCTAACAGTAATAACTATAAGATCTATCTGAAATAAATAAGTGTACTGAAACAAATACCAATAACTGTATTGCATTGTTTTCTTATGCGCAATTACTTCATACTGTCTAGTTCTCTTTTTCGTCCTGCATTTATTGTGCCCCCCTCAGAAAATAAATGGCCCCCCAGTGGCCCCCCCCAGTCAAATTGGTCTAGAACCGCCACTGCAAGGTATAGTACTACACGCTACCAATCGCAGCTGTGGAGACATTGGTATAGTTGTCTCTTTGTAGGACACTGATTTAAATTATTCTTAAACTATGAATTCTTTTTATGCTGTGTATGTAATTTATTATATGTAATGCCTTGTCTTTTATCTATGTAATGTCTTGTCTTTTATCTGGATCCTGAGTCTGTAATAAAGTTTTCATTCATTCATTATAAAGCTATTTGCTTTAGTTTAGTAGATATCTACAAACAAAGAGTCGATATTTTTCTAAAACCATTTAGTGCTTCACATAATAAAATACACAACGGCATAGCCTGTTTTAGGAACTGTATGTGTGTGTGTGTGGTGTAGGTGTGTGTGGTACAGTGTGTGCGTAGATGCTGCAGCGGACAGACAGGTCTCAGTTGGTTTGGTGTCCTCTGCTTACTTTTAATACTTGTAAATAAAACTTTTGGCGCGTAATTTATTTTCCTCATTGTAGCCACCAGAGAGGGGAGAGGGTGATATATCCAGTCTGATAGTGTTACGTTATTATGAGAGTGCTCTATTTGATTCTGAAATTGTATATATTTATATAAATATATACATATATGTGTGTGTGTGTCCCCGCATCTGTTGCCTGTTATTGTCTCATTATACCGCACTGTCAATGAATTAAAAGTAAATATATAAGTCATCATGAACACATCTGTCCATCAGACAGAGGGCTGCTGTGCCTCCTGTCATCATTAATGGACGTCTCTTTAAAATGACCGCTCAGAGGAGAGGAGTTCTCATTTCTCTAACCGCCTGCTGCTTCCCCTCCTCTTTCCTCGGTTCCCCTCCTCGGCTCCTCCGCTCGCATCTCCTGTGGGCGGGACTAAGTATTGAGGATAGGAGTCGAGGAGGGGAGTTAGAGAAATGAGAAAGGTCCCCAGTGTCTCCCGGTTAGAGCTCCTCCAGAGAGCCTCCTCGTTGCTCGATGCTCGAAGTGCATTTAGAGAAATGAGATGTCCTTCAAAATGGCACGCTGAAATTCATTTCCGGGTCACTACCGGAGGACCGAGGAGTCGAAATTTGAGTATTGAGAAACCTCTAGAGAATCAGCACTTTTGAAACAGGGCTGAAACAGAGGGGATTATGGGATGCTGCAATGATCTGTTTGGTGTTTGGAGCCAAATACATCAGAAATGTTTTGTATTTAACTGAGAACCATAATATATATTGATGAAAAATAGTATAATAGGGGACCTTTAATGTGTATTTTTTTCTTTACCATTGTTGTGACCTTGTGTTTGTATTAAAAACTGTTTTATTGTATGATTAGCCTTTCAAAAAGGAAGGGAAACATTGTGTTCAGGTGTACAGTGGCCAACGCTCTAGCTTTCCTCAGTCAGAAAGCCCCTGCTGGCTAACCTTTGGATGACTTTCAAGCCCCTCCACACACCATTGTTATTGCTCAGTCTTTCCCTTAGATGTCCTTTTCTCACCACAATCACTCACATACTCTCAAGTCTGAGAGCAAAAGCAAGCAAGCGAGCTCCTCTCAGAGCCACAACCTGGGGAGTACTGTCAAAGGAACAATTTGCACAACACAAAAGCTTTTGTTTCCAGCCCTTTGAGTGGGAGACAGGTGGTCACTGTGGGAATAACTTGGCATTCTCTTTGAAAAACTGCCGGGACAGAGCTGTCGAGTAAAGGCAAGCCACAGAAACAAGAGGATCTGTGTTTAAGCACTTTTAAGCGCTTATAATATGGAACATTGGGTTCTATTCAGTTGCACTTTATTATGCTCTTGTCTCGTACAATGGAACATTTATTTGACTCAATCCATAAAATATTCCTTTTCTTTATTTTTTCATTAGTTGCAGGTATGGCACAAAAAAAATGGGTGATAAATCCAAAGAAATACAGTGAAAAAGAAGCCTGATCATATATAAATATAGCGCACAAAACAGAGAAGAGTGACAGGTCATTATAACAGGGTGTTGGCACAGAACAAGATAAACAACATCACTGAAACACAGCTTTCTTATCAACCTTGATATTACAGCATCAAACGTATTATTTCCAAGGGTCTTTTTTTGGAGTGAGGGGGGGTGGGGGTTCTCGAAGAGGCAAATACATATCAGTTTTTTCATCTTGCTCCACTGATGTTAAATAACTGGACTAGTAAAAATGGAGTCAGTGTGAACAGTCATGTTGATCCTGCCTGGCCTCGAGAAGTAGTGAGACAATAAGGAAGCGAGAGGTGGCAGTTCTCCCTCTGGTGAAGTTGGCACACAGAGCAGCCATGCCATCAAACAGTGACACACTGCTTCTTCCCTGACAGAGTAAAATGAGATCTCTGAAAATGTGTCTACCTCTTCCAGTTATTTAGTGAGACTGCAGTCAGCCTCCTGTCGAGAAGTCACTCTCTGCTGCCTAGCCACTGCGGGAAAGTGAAAGAAACTTCATTTAAAAAAAACACATTCAACACAGTGGTAATGTTTCAGGTTTAATACGACAGACATTTACCTCATACGAACACTTTCTGTGACTGCCAATTCTATCGGTGCTGGTCGTGCCTAACACGATGCTTTCCCCCCATTTGGCACCAAATTCTCTTTGCTGATTCAAAACCACGAAAGCAAGGTGTGTGTAGTGATTATTGGAACTAGCTGTCGCAATTATATCAGGCTAGTGGAACTGAATGGTTATTAGGGAAGCTAAGATAGCGCAATGAATGGCACAATGTGACAAAGCCCTTCTTAAGGTTGAACAGAAAATGAGAACATTTCCACTCAAAAAGAAATGTTGGGACTGTTCCTTTTAACGACCGCCAGAGCACAGGTAATATGCATTTTATTCAATGGTGAGAATAAAACATTACAAGGGGACTATAAGTGTAACTAAGGAGGTTAAAATATGTAAATGACAGCTTTAAAAACACCTTTTTAAGGAACTTTGTTAAATAAAAACTGCCTGAGTTTAGCAGCATAACTGAAAAGGACTTCAGGCAGGATTTGTTCTACTTGTAGTTTAGAATATTACAAGATATGCACTTTCTAGAAATTAAGGCAGTACTTTTTATTAAATTACATTTTCTCGCATAGCAACTGGTCATGGTTCTACTCACATGGATAAGTTTAATCAAATTTACCAAAGAACCTGGGAAATAGTTTGAGAACACTGCATGTTGCGGCAATTATGTTCAATTTGCAGCCTGCACAAACCCTGACAGACCACATCCTTTAATGGTACAGTAACTCAATTTTAATGGTATTAATGTAAGCACCGGGTACATTCAGGCATAACTGCACAATTCCTTTGAGTATTTGTCAACGAATGCACAAAATAAATAACAGATTTTCTTCAAGGATGCAACAGCATTATAAAAATAGTACTTGTTTGTTTACTTGGTAATTTCATAGGCAAAGGCTCTAAAGAGCTTTAAAAGACTAAGCAGCAAAAGCACAAATACATTACATAAGGTAGAGGTTGTTTGTTTCAGGGAGCTGTGGCAGCAAATAACATTAGCATAAGCTAATCAGCCAAATAAATGTGTAAGGTATCAGGCCACATGACAATGCTGTATGCCTGCATGGATGGATGTTTGGAGTCAGCTGGTGTAATCAGCCAATGATTGTGAGGAAGAAAACAGCCGGTTCCAATCAGCTAATCATTTGAGAATGTAGTACTGATCAATAGGCAGTTGTGTTAGGGGTTATTGCAGTACATATAGTTTATACAGTCCAACTCTGGTAAATAAAGACATTTAAATGTCATGCTATTGTCAAAGTGTTCTGAAAGTAATAGATCCCTGAAGCAGTCTACCAAAAAATACTATAATTTGATTTTTGTAATCCTATTCAAATTCCTAATGTTATCACTACAACTGCAAACTCTTGCATGAGTGCCAAACTATCGTTACTGCTTTCAGAAACAGCATACTCTACCTGCTGGTGGAAAAACCCAAACGGTTCATATCTGGGACACAGCAATGAAGAATAAACTACTAATATCTCAAACCTATTCCCCATGCAAATGTATGAGCACTTCACACCTTCCAGAAGCTTCTAATCGTCAAAATAGTCAGTGAGCACCACACTGTTTACATATTCAGAAAGTGTTAATCCAATTCAATTGTACTTTAAAGTAGCTTTAGAGGACTTTTATCAATAAAAAAGAGCAGAGCTGAGTGAGTAAGCTAGTACTCAGCAGACTCACTGCTTTTGTTTACACAAAGGGCACTTAATAATACCCTGGAAACAAACTATAATTCCTTTAGCTGTCAAATTTCAAACGCTGTCCTGGGAAAATAAGAAAAGATTTCCTTCACACAAGAGGATTTGCAGATATGAATGTACCCTAAATGTAACAATATAATCCACACATTTGAAATACATATCAGGTCTGTCATAGGTTTTGAAAGGCTACTGTTGATATTGCTCAGACAATTTCACACTATGGTGACTATCCAGAAGAAATAATTGAACTCAAGGGAGTTATTTTGAAGTAAATGTTTGTCGAATGGAAGTTTGCTTATTTGCTTTTGCTGAGAGAAAGAGGAGAAGATTGATACCACACTAAGCTACCAGAATATCCCTCTGAAGCTTCCTAATGTCTTTGCTAGCTTCCTGACAAGCCAATTACACCAAAACGTGTTGATTTTAAACTTTAAGTTCTGTTTAAAAGATTAAACAAGCATCACTTATAGGGCTTTATGTGTTTATAGCAGGCTTTAGAGATGCTGGTAGGAGGACAGGTCAAGACTTGCAGTTTCCCCGTTTATAGTATTGATGCTAAGCTAAGCTAACAGTCTTTCTGCAAAGTTATGTTGAAGCTCCTTTCCCACATGTCAAACTTTTACTTTCAAACTAAAGTAATACCTAAGGTGTTCTTTCATTTAAATCCAGCAGTTATTTTTTAATCATTTATGTTCTCGGAGGTGTATTTAATATAACATTTGCATTGAAAAGGTGCTCAGGGCCGCCGTAAAAGGAACAGTTTCAAAATATCTTAAGGAACTCATATGCCAGGCTTAGTGACAGTGACGACTGCACGGGGCACTTTTCAATATTTACTATACGACACGAGGATATAGCAACTACCCAAATGGATATTTCACTTGAGTTTGTAATTTAGAAAATGGTGTCAAAGTCAGACGGACTTGTTCTTTATGTGTTGAAAACAACCTCTGAATGTTCTCATCATCAAAAGCACACTCACAAAAGAAGGTAAAACATAGTAAGACTGTAAGAAAATAACTCCCACCAAAAGTCCATTTACATTCATTATGATCTTGGCCTTATAGAAATAAAAACACAAAAACGAAAGATACAAATTAACAGCAGATAATGGCTGTGATTATGTCTCTGTAATAACACCATACAGACCATGATGGTATTATAAGGATGCCCTGAAATGCTTATCATCCTGCTCTGTTTTGCTTGGCATATTAATCTTCTTTACACGTATCATTTTCTTATCACACCTATTGTACACAGCTTTATGCTCACACATGTACATGACCCACTCAGGCTTCCATAGAAGAGGCTACATCTGCTGAACAACCACAACACCAAACTGAAGCGTTACCCAGCCTGCATTGGTGATCACTCCATCATACCGGGCTTCTTTCTGTCCTTTAGTGTTTTGGTTGCACTATAAATATGAATGTAATGAGTACAAAATGATCAGTTTGCTGTTAAACGCGGACTTGTGTTGGTAAGCCTGTGGAAATTGGTCACGTATGTTTTGAGAAATATAAAATGGATTTTATATGTCGAGACCTTAAACTGTATGTTGTGCTTCCTGTACTCCAACATAAAACATTTATCATAAACCTTTGAATAGAGCTTTTTTAACATTTACAAGTTATACAGTTACCAAATTGGTTTTACTTCTTATGCTTCCGTCAGCTTTGATACTTAAGCAATGCAAAGGGAGACGACAAGAAGAGAAAGGAAGTTAAGTCATCTTCAACAGAAAATAAAATAAAAAGAAGAAACAAGACACAAGTCCTCAAAACATTTGTCATAACCAACAATGAACGGAATTTTTCATTTTCTTATTTTCTCTTTTTTACAATACATTTTTTAAAAACCCCGCTGGTTAAGGTTATGGTCTCAGGTAGATCTTCCAGTCAATCTTCACAGTTTGTGTAAAAGCAGAGAAACATTCTCGCTAGAGTAATAAAATATCATGACTATTATTATGGTCATTATTATCTTTTATTCTTGTATTGTTCCATATAAATGGTGGAGGGTAGGGGCGAGGCGTATGACCCTAAAGAAGAGCCTCCAGTCCCAGAGTTCCTACTCTCCTCCCTGTACAACGCAATGTTTTATTCAGCGGTCGTTCTTTTGTTAAAAAATTCTCACCGCAGGGAAGGAGAATTATGGGAAGAGAGAGTGGGGGTATTCATTCGACCACATGTCTTTATCCTCCTGTATAATCTTGTCGTTCTGCAGGAAAAGATCCAGAGCCTCACTTTCACTGTTGCCGCTGTTTTTTAAAATCCAAATTGTATCCAAACCTGGTCTGCCAGCTCTGCCTGGGATGCTGCCTTCACGTTGAACTACGCCGAGGCATAGGCTTAGGAGCATGCACGCACACAAACACACACACACACTCGCACACACACACACACTCGCACACGCACACACACACACACACACACAGGCAACTGTCCCATCAGGATTTAAACAACCCAACACTCCCTCTGAACACGCATGCCCTTCCGTCAGCACTTGTGGGGCAAAAGAAACATGTAGAAAATAGCCCATCAGAGGAAACATGAACAGAGATGTGTTCGATGTTGATTAACACACAGGCTCACGATTCGGTTTGTAATCTGAAGGCACTTTGTTTCATGGCAGAAAGTAAAGTGGCTTCTGTTCCACAGGCGGACTGAATATTCGAGTCAGGCCTCACTGATCGGACCTTTCTCCACTCTCTGCCTGTTCCTCCCTCCTCTCCCTCTCCTCCACTCTGCTTCCTCTCTCATTTCAGATCCTGAGCTTCTCTCTGCCCTCCCGTCCACCTTGTCTACACCTCCGCTGATTCTCCTGCTTTCATTGACACCACACAGCCGGTTGGCCACTTGGACTTGTGAGCACAGTGTTAATAGATACATAGGCAGCTACAGGGGAGTAAGCAGACAGAACTAAATGTTGCCAGACCTTGTTTTTCTACAGTACAGCACCGAGCAGATAAAGAAATGCCAAGGTGTGACGTGAGGCTGGGCCAGAGTGAAAAACAAGTGTCGGTGAATGGCATCTGGTGCGAGAAAATGAAGATAAAGATGCACAGAGAAAGGTCTGATTCCATGTGTTTGTAAGCAGGGAAATGTTCATTCCTTTTCAAAAAAGTCACTAGTCTATATATCCGCTGCCTTCCAAAGATATTTTCATAACTTCATAAAATGGTTCTTGTGCTTTACAAACTGTCCTCCTTCGATGCTTGTGAACTCTTTCGCCAAAGTTCAGGCTTATTCATGGCCCACTTGTCTGTGTGCTCGTAAAGATGTCCAGAGTCCTGCAGCGAGGAGTGTTTCTGTAAAAGAGGTTTCTTTAAAAAAATTAGCGCGTCTTCTTTATTACTTTTTGTGTCACGTTTATATCATGATTTTTTTCCCTCTTTCATTAATATCGGCCCCTCCGTGGTCTGCCAGGGGACCCCTGCTGCTTTCAGGATGCATGAATCTTTGGTGATTGGATGCCGAGGGTATAGTTCACAGACGGAGGGTCTGAATGTTCGCCTCTGAGATGACGGAGAGAAGGGTCACCTCTGACCTTCCAGGAGGGTCATCACCAAGGTGATGCATAGCAGCCATATATGGGAGGATGTGGATGGAGACTTGGAGCTGAGATCTACAACGAAAGAAGGAAAAGAAACTGAAAATATTGCTAGCAGTTCATTCTTTACACTCACATAAAAAGATAACACATGGACATCAAATTAGCCAAGTGTGTTTCACTCCATAGAAAGCCATTTTAGGAAATACGCTGAGGAGAGTTTGGTGAGAAGATGATTACCACCCTAATGTATCATCCATCATGTACCAGCGGTCTGTTAGCTTAGCTTAGCATAAAGACTGAAAAGAGGGGAAACAAACATTTAAGGGTGGGGTAGGTAAGTTTCAGAAACCGGCTCGAGTGCACTAACATTTGAAAGTACACAGCCGAAAAGAATCCGCCCCTTCCTTCAGACTTCCTTACAGAGCACCTCCTCCAACACACATGAGACTGGTGAAAGTGGCCGCCTGTTGCTGGCGAGTCATTGAAGTACTGCTGCAATGCACGCCCAATGAGGGCACGAGATACATTTGTGCGTGCACAAGATGGAAGGCTGATAGACAGGGCGGCAATCCAATCCGTTTAGCCGGGCCGGCTAAACGGATTGGATGTACTTTTTACAGTATTACGGCTTCCACAGATGACATTTTTTAATGGATTTTTTGTCAAAGCACTTAAGATATTCATTGCTATCGGGATGTTAAGAGCATTCTATGGAATATAACAAAAAGTGTATCTCGAGCCGGTTTCTGAAACTTACCTACCCCACCTCTAAATAAGGTTAATTTGGACTTTTACAGGAAGTTATACAGTTCTTTTTTCTTCCTGGCATGGCAAGCCTCAAAACCACAAATTACAAAAAGGACACACTTTTATCTGTGTACAAATGATTTCCCCCCTGTTTTTAGCCTTCATGCTAAACTAAGCTAAACTCAGCTAAGCCAACGTAGTATGAATATCTTCTTCAGCAAGACAGCAAATAAATTATTTCCAAAAACTCAATTTCAAATGATTCCTTCAAGGCACAACTAGCCTGCAGGATCAGATCCTAAAACAGTTGCTCTGAACCTCTTTCTTCTTCAGTCCGATGTCACCTCCGAACATCCCTCCATGAGATATTTCTCATTTTCACATAAAGTCATGTGAGATTCATCATGTGAGATTGAAATGCATAATTCTTAGCATTACTCTGTCCTCAGCCTGGGCGGCCACTCCTATAACTCAAAAGTAAATTAATTCATGTTGTCGCTTTGAATTATAATGGATCCAAATGAATAATAATCTTGCAGTAATACAATAGAATACATCTTACAGACGGAGATCACTGACTGATTCTTTTTTGGATATATGTGGTTATTTTCCACTAATGACATGAAACATTTAATAGATTACCCTGATTCATCTATGGTATATGAAAGGGACATCTCAGTTTATGAAGCTTGTGGAAAAGGTATTCCTGCGACTCTTTATAACATGAATAAAATCAGGAGAAACATTTTTTTCTCTGCCTACCCATATCCCCTTGTCAATTGGAGGCCATTTTCCGTGTCCTGTTTTCTGTTTTTACTTTCTGTTTGTTCCTGCAGTGCAATTACAGTGCTCCACTCAGCCAGCGTGGCTGTCATTCATGTGATTACAACACTGTTTCTATGGCAACCCGAGAGTGTGGTTGAATGCTGGCAACTGTCTAAGATTAGATCCCCTCTCGTAAATCTCCAACTTGTCCAACGAGCTAGAGTGGGAGCGTGGAGCTCAGATAAGAGGAGACGGAGGAGGCAGAGAGGGGTGTTACTCACTGGGTGGAGGGTCTCGACACTCCCCTTCCTCCAGCGTGACATCATCGATGGCTATGTCTCCCTCGATGCCTTTTCCCCGGATACCTTCGAGCACCACCTGCAGAGAGAAATGTTTGTCATGTTATGTGTTCAGCATTGCAAGACCACAACAACAGGATGATTAGCAGATAAAACCTTAAAAGTACACGGTGTGATTTTGCTAAATTGCAGCAGTTGGCAGTTTTTAATGTCACAAATGTTTTAATCAAGAACCCTTGTGGTGTTGGAGCAGTAAGAAGTTAGAGTGGAGAGAATAAAAAAGGGAACAGAAGTGCAGCTGAAACTATAATTACTTTCCACAACTGCAGTCATAAACATGATGGAGAGTATTCTCAACACGCAACGATTAAGCGTCTTAAATGCAACGTGAGTGATATTGTGTTTTCAATTGCAAACAGTGTCCACCTCTCTGCTTAACATCACAGCTTGTGAAGTGCTACATCAATATGCCGCCCCCAAGGAAACGGATCCTTCCACACACAAACACAGTCAGAGAAGAAGATAGAGGGCAACAAGAGGAGTGCAGCGGCGTGTTGGATTGATTATGTTTCTTTGTCTTACCTGGAAGGATGATGTCGGATGGATGCTTACTTTCGCCTGCTTCCAGCGTTCACCTTGGTTACCGTTTAGCGACCACGCAGGAGCCTCGGAGGTCGTTTGGCCCTTCTGTTTCAGGAGGGCGTTTAGTGTTCCTGTGGCAGAGAGACAGATGCACATAAAGACATGGCTACAACATATTTTATAACATCCTGAAACACTTCAATGTGGTTTCAGAACATCAAGCAGTAAATACATAGAGGGCCACAAAGTGCTACTGGGTCATGTAAAAGCAAAACAAATTAGTTCAAAGTTCGATAATAATTATAACATTTGACACGGTGATGCAGTATAGGAAACTTTTGTTAACGAGCCCTGCATGATCTTCATTCCTCTCTGTTGATATGATTTACTCATATGTGACTAAAGTAGGTCACCACTACTCAGGGTAACAAATGTGTCCCTATCACCCTTTAGCATTCACTTTTCTAAGACTTTATTTACAGTTCTTTTATATTTCTGTGACAATTCCATGAAAGTGGGCTCTATACGCTTGCTTTGCTGTAGTAGAAGAAGAAGAGGTTGCAAAACAAGTCGCCTTGCCATCCAACAAATCAACCATAGAAAAATGGTATTCTTGAATTTGTTTTAATTGGGCACCTTTTGATGTTTCTTTTATGTCAACTAGTATATGCCATGTATCATGCTGTTCCAATATCTGATGGGAATATTTCTGAGAAGACACCAACAGCGAAAACAACTGATGTCATGCGAGTTAACTGTCAGAATTTATTCGGCAAATGCGTTTCAATTTTTCAACAGGGGCAAAAACCACCCAAAGCAAGTGGAAAACCTTTTTTGCAATTGAGGAAGTTTAATGATATTTTTGAAGTTTCTTAACAGCTTTTGTAGTGCGACACAACTTCAAAACGCGCATACAAATAAATAATACATTCATGGAAACACATCTTCTGTGCCAAGAAAGATCCCCACAGGAGAAATTTGGGGTGAAGTGTCTTGCCCAGGGACACAACGACATGCTGACTGCAGTGGGGTTTGAACCCTGATCCGAACACCTACTGACGACCCACTACGCCACACACCTCCAGTAATAAGATCCGATTGAAACCAAATTAGTAAAGCGATAAACATATTTTGAAACTATCTACCTATAATTTGGAGGGCTATTTTTTTTATTCTTACTTTAATGAGTTACCATAATGACAATCAGACTGAATAAAGTTTCTGTTAACTTTTGCCTTTATTCTCACCCACACTCCCTCCTTTGTGCTCTCTTCTGTTTCTGTCTCTCCCACTCTTTGTCATTATTCAGCTCATATTAAGGTTATTTGTATTATGAGAGTATGAATAGAGACATAAAGAAATATATAATCAGAACATTTTTGCAAAATAACCCTGATCCCCTCCGATCCATCTAGTTTATGAATGAGTGTAGAATGACTAATGGTAATGAGATTTGAACATTTCAGAAGAATACCCACATCGCATTTCACCAGCTTCACACTTTAGAAATATAAAACCTCTAGGGATCAGACAAGGTTTAACCACAATACTGCAGCCCTAATCATTTCAATCAAGACATTTACGGTATTGAATAGATTGTACAAAACATTGTGAATAAACTGTTTTCAGCACTGATGCGGATCCTTACCATTTACTGGATGAAATGGAAAACAAATCCTTAAGAAAATAAAATATGAATCTTAACCAACAAGTTAAATTCATAACATTATTGGACATCATGACGATTTTAAATTACTGTAAAACTAACATTTTTTAACAATACATCTGTCCTGTTTGAGAAGTTTTCTATTTTTGAGATAAATAATACTGCACTACATTATGAAACTGCTTGCAAAAACGGCTCTAGACTTTTTAACTGAATATACAAGAAGATGTGAACATTTACAAGAAGTTGAATATTCACAGCAGTCTCCGCCGCATTTCAAATGTATGTATTCATCTGCACTCGAGGCAGAGCAGGGCAGTAGCAAAGGTTAATCTCAGGTCACATGAACTAAAACATTTATTAAGTTGTGATTCTGCAAGCGATCATAAATAATTTTCCATCCTGTTATAACCCAAATTAATTATCCCTAATGGGCGATGCGTGATGAGAATATTTGGGGAGTGTAAATACATCATGAGAATCAAACTATTTCTGCTCAGTCCAGCTCCGGTTTGAATCTATTGCGCCGGAGAAGAAATCCTGGACTCTGGTCTAAACCAACTCTGCATTGTGAAAATGCAATTTGACAGATCCATTTTAAAGGTCCCCTATTAGGCTCTTTTTTATCAATATATTATAGGTCTCAGATATATACAAAACATGTCTTTGAAGTGTTTGGCTGAAACCCCTAACAGATCACCCATTGTAGCATCCCATAATCCCCTCTGTTTCCGCCCTGTTTCAAAAGGGCTGATTCTCTGTCTGTTACTTTAGATGAAAATAAGGAGCCCCTCCCCACGCCCCTCTGAGATATTTGGTCTAGGAGGAGATTCAGGTGATAAGGTGGGGGGGGGGGGGTACCTTGGTTGGTGATTGGCTAATGGTTACACAAGCCAAAAAAACGTTATGACATCATAAAGTAGCCAAAATTTGATCAGCTCATTTTCAGAGAGGTTTTTATATAAATGGATCAGGACAAAAAGTGAGCCAATATTTTTTCCTGAAACTTTCAGAATCTCTTTACACAGAGGGGACACATGTTGATGTATAAAATACATGAAAAAGTGAATTTTGCATAATAGGTGACCTTTAACTGAATTCATATACATCCTCTTATATAAGAGAGAAATACAGGATCTCATTGAGACAGAGTAGACTATATACCAGGTCTGAATGGAAGACTGCTCTCAGTGAAACCTCTTGTCTGGCCAAAGGCTTTGATATAAAACTGTCAGATGATGACACCCGGTGCAACCACTCCACCGTGCTCTCCAAGAGAAGCGATTGTGTTGCTTTCTCTATGCGCCACGCAGGAAGACAGAGAGAGAGAGTGCAATCCTTCAGCAGTGGGCTAGCAGAGCAGCATCCAAAGACCCAAATCAGGTTAGCATTGCACCATAGCGGAGCTCAGCAGGACTCCTCCTCTGAAGTCAAGTGGATTTCAATAGTATGGAAAGCAGCACCTCTCCGTTGACACAACCGGCGAGAAGAAAACCGCAGCGACTACGATAGTGATGTTGTTTTTGATGCATCTTTGCCTCAGCAAGGTGCCTCATTACTGTACATCTCTGTGAGGAGAGGAGGGAAAGCTACACCGTATGTCCCTGTTCATATTCACACATCAGCACGGTATACAGTGCCCCCCCCCTTCCCCGACAACAGCACCATCTCCAGTGAGAGATGAGCTCTCGTACAAAACATGACCTGCGGTTTCATCTCACGTTGAAGTGTTTAAGGATGTAGGAGGATTCTTGCTGAGCTGGCTGGCTTACATTTTCTTTGAACTCATCTCGATGTAGGTGGTTGTGTCAGTGTCATCACATCCTGAGCAAAGGCATTTTGCAAAGGAGTTTTCTTTGGAATCAATTTATAATAAAAAAAAAAAGAAATACCTGTGGCAGACACTTCTGAGAAGAGAAAGATGTGAGGTCTGGTGAAAAGTGAGAAATAGCTCTTGGAAATGTTCAATTATGTAGCGAGGAAGTGAGGGGGGGGATTGAGGTGCAGTACCACCCTCCTCGCTAATGAAAGGATGACTCCGTTGCTTCTCAGAAGGTCAGGCTTAAAACAGACTTGCTTGGTGTGCTTTGCCGGAGACTTAATCCAATAAACAAATGCGACACGGGCTCCAAATGCAAACTTTGATGCACGCTTCAGTAATTAAGCGTGACCTTGTCGCAGGTATCCCCCTGTAGCTAACTACGGAGGAGTTTCTTTGAGCCTGAGCCACAGTTCTCATCAGCGTGGGGGCAAAACTCCTTATCGACTGATTCTGGCCCTCAGCGCTGCCGTGCACCAACTTGACTGTGAATCACCTCCTCAGCACAGTCCCACAGAGCATCAACCTCCCAGCATTTCACGGAGCTGTGCCATGTCTAAAAGCCGTCAACTATTTCAAATGACAGTTCTCTGCAATAAGACAACACGGGACACGTGAACATGCATTGTTTGGACCATTTGTCAAAGGCATTCTTTTCTCTGGGTTGAAAATATCTCAAACCAACATTCCTGAGCTCTGGGGCAAATTTCTCTCACGGCCGGAGAGGCAGAATACTAAATGGAGCGTAGCCATGGAGGATCTGAGCTGGGTTTCAAGTCCTTGACATTTAGCCCATTCATCATAACACGCCATCGTCTGGGCTCCACCACAGACGGGGGGAGGGGGATGGCAGGGAAGAGAGGGTCTGGCTTGCGATCAATTTGAGCAAATTGGAAATGTCATGGCCTACTCAACCTCGGCAGGGAGCCGGAGGAGCTCTCATCTCCCCGCTGAGTTGCTCTCCAACACCTCCATCCTTATAGTATGTCCACCTCCCTCGCCTCCACCTCTCCAGATGTTCGGTCCGGCACCCCCACCTGGACACTTCCACTCTGCCTTTCCCCTGAGGACTGCTGATAAGTAGCCAGGCTGAATTTTAGACCATATGGAGCCCTGCTGTCAACTCACTGTAAAAACGGCCGGTTCATCCAAAATACATATTTAAAAAAAAACATATGGCTAGTTGTATCAAATTGGAAATGTTATTTTTGTTTTATTTGAAATGTTATTGAGTTGTCTTACAATACATCCATCACTAGGACACTCAAAGTGCTCAGACCTCTGCCGTTGCTGTTTCAATTGGTAACAAATAAGGATTGTGTCCACTGTCCACCCTGTTATTCAGATTTGTAATTTGGCTGATAAAGCACATGCTGGGTCGAAAACATTACCCCTTTGGCCGAGGTAAAATTCCCAAACACTCATTTAGGTACCATTTACATCTTTGACAATGTGCCTTTTCCTCAATAGAACAATCTGAAAGCCTTTTTATTATACCAATTCAAATAAGAGTCAGCTAACAAACTTCAAAGGAAATTAAATAGTGGAAAATACAAAATATTGCTTAAGAAAAACATATAAGCCATCACACTCAAAAGAAAAATAAATAAGGAAGAAGAGAGTGGGGGGGGGGGGGGTGAGAGCAGCAGGTTCAGCAGCAGCTCGGAGCGGAGCAGGTGGAGGGTGGAGATGGAGCTGATACCATCAAGGTCTCACCAGAATACTGAGGTAAATGCAGCCAAATGCTCGCTGTAAACATCTTTTCGAAGCAGAGTCGAGTGCAGTTGCCAGCCTGTAGTGATTTCACAGTTTATTGAACATGAAGTTTAATGAGCACAGATCTGCAACTCCCTGTCCCCTCTTAGAGACCAGTTACTATCATTTCTCTCTATTCCAACTTCCTTTAATATCTACTTTTTTTTCTAATTGTTTTTTGTTTATCAAATATATATTTTAGGGCAGCAGTCATTTTAGTTCACTTGATGTTTCTGTGTCTATGTTTTTGTCTTTTGCAATGTCATTTTCTTTCTTAAGGCCCATCAGCTTCCTTATAAAAGTAAACCTGAAAAACATAATCTGCCATAGTTTGGATATATTTGTGTTTTTTGTCTGTCATTGGTTTATAGTGAGGGAGCCACATTTGGAAGAAGCGTACTTTCATGCACCCATCAGGATTTGGCAGTATGTTCTTAGGGAGAGTTATTTGGGTTGTTGGGACACTGTCATTCCAATTAGATTAAACCACACCATTTCCTTGATTTTCGAGTATTAAACACAAATTTAAGGATATTTTTTTCTTTCAAACTATGATTTTCTAAATTAGTCATTACAATGTACTGTTATTTAGAGAAACATTTTGGCAAGTCCTTGTTTAAAGCAGACCCGTCTGTGAGCGTGTCAACCTCACATGCCCCACAAACTGAGCTTCAAGGCTGCTGTGCTTACAGTGAATGTCCCAAAATGGATTTGCATGTGAACAAATCACAGAGAATGCCTTGATGGAAGACAACAACTGAGTCATACAATTGTTTTAAAGTACAAATGTCAAAGGTGATGGTCCATAACACGAGACAAATACGTTTTTCACAGTAAATGTTTAAATTGTAGCGAATGATTGGTGACTGCAAAAAAATTATTACAGGCCAGCAAAAACTGAGGGAATAATATTTAGCTACAAGCTGCTGAAGTTTATGACCTCAACTACTTCCTATGACCATTACACATAAACTGACCAAAGACAAGGGACCATATCAACAGAGGCAGACCCATCTTTGAACAAGTGAAGTGATTTTCAATGCGAAAAAATATGACTTTGTGTTATGCTGAACTAACATATTATAATATAACAAATAAATAAAATGGAAACTTAAATAGATTAGATACATCCTATTAAGTTATTAATCATCAATACTAAATATATATGTGACCCGCTCTATCGAAATCAGTCAGAAGTCACAACGGCTCATTTCAAAATAAACGTGGATTTGCGTAAAAAAAATAGTTTTTCGTGGTTCGGGTGTTTTGTTTGATTTTAAATAAACAAAGTTTTGACTTTCAGAATATGAAACTTTTATATCCAAAATCACACGATAAATACAGTTGCAAGAAAAAGTATGTGAACCCTTTGGATTCTCCACACATAGCGTTGTGTGTTCCTTCCAAACAACTCAACTTTGGTTTCATCTGTCCACAGAATATTTTGCCAGTAGTGCTGTGGAACATCCAGGATGCTCTTTTGCAAACTTCAAACGTGCAGCAATGTTTTTTCTGGACAGCAGTGGCTTCCTCCGTGGTGTCCTCCCATGAACTCCATTCTTGTTCAGTGTTTTACGTATCGTATATTCGTCAACAGAGATGTTAGCATGTGCCAGAGATTTCTTTAAGTCTCTAGCTGACACTCTAGGATTCTTCTTCACCTCATTGAGCATTCTGCGCTGTGCTCTTGCAGTCATCTTTACAGGACGGCCACTCCTAGGGAGAGTAGCAACAGTGATGAACTTTCTCCATTTATAGACAACTTGTCTTCACTGATGAACATCAAGGCTTTCAGAGATACTTTTGTAACCCTTTCCAGCTTTATGCAAGTCAACAATTCTTAATCGTAGGTCTTCTGAGAGCTCTTTTGTGCGAGGCATGGTTCACATCTGGCAATGCTTCTTAAGAATAGCTCATTCAAAACTGGTGTGTATTTTTTATAGGGCAGGGCAGCTTTAACCAACACCTCCAATCTCGTCTCATTGATTGGACTCCAGGTTGGCTGACTCCTGACTCCAATTAGCTCTTGAAGAAGTCTTTAGCCTAGGGGTTCACATACTTTTTCCACCCTGCACTGTGAATGTTTACATGGTGTGTTCAATAAAAACATGAAAACATATAATTGTTTGTGTGGTATTAGTTTAAGCAGACTGTGTTTTAACACATTTTATGACCAACTAATGCAGAAATCCAGGTAATTCCAAAGGGTTCACATACTTTTTCTTGCAACTGTACATGTTTGAAGCTTGTAAAGGGAAGATGACAGGTACCTCTCACTTGCAACTCTGCTCTTCCTTAGCGCCACCCCCCTCCAGCTGACATTATGAATGTAAGGCGTATAGTAATCATAGATAACACGGCAGGGTCCGTTACAGTTTGTTTTCATCTGGTTTCAAATAAACAAAGTCTTGGCTTTCAGAATATTAAACTTGTGTCTGCAAATTCAGATGATAAATACAGCTTCGAAGCTTTTAACGGCATAATTACAAGTGGAGAACGGAGTAACTTAACGTCACAGCAGGCATAACAACAGCCGGTGTTTCTCGTGAGTGTTTTCCCCGACACAAACACACAACCACTGACACACACACACACACACACACACACACACACACACACACACACACACACACACACACACACACACACACACACACACACACACACACACACACACACACACACACACACACACACACACACACACACACACACACACACACACACACACACACACACACACACACACACACACACACACACACACACACACACACACACACACACACACACACACACACACACACACACACACACACACACACACACACACACCAGTAATCCAAACGAAAATGTCTTCCCTCCGTACTACTTTGATAATTTGCTAATAACCAATCAGATCGATGGATTCCAGAGAAGAAGAAACTTTGAAGGCCTTTTTCTCAAACTGATGACTCAGTGACAGTCATTATATGATGTGACATATTTTGCTTAATATTTGGAGTACAACAACAATCCTGATATCATTGAAAGAGGAGATTCATAGCTTTCTAAACAGTGTATACGACTCAAAATGTGTCTTCGGGTCAATGCGACTGATTTCGATGGAGCAGGTCACATATTTGGTATCACTTATTAAATCTGCTATAAGGAATTCACACTACACATTGGTAAAAGTGTTTCTCTTACCTAAGAGAAACACGAAATAACAAAATAACAAAAGAAGGACACATCATCTTTTGTAGCCTAGAATGCACAATATTAGCTCACACTGCTCTAAGCCTGAACAAGCATCCAGCCCCCATGATACCACGGTGACCCTGCAACCCCCCCCAGCGGGGCTCCTGCTCCTCACCTGCCCTAAGAACCTGTGCAGTAGCTAATGATTCAGGGTAAAGCCAAACAGTACAAAAAGAAGCCTTAAAAATGTAAGTCTACAGCTTTTGTGCCAAAGTTATTTATTATTTGTCTTCTGTCCCAAAGTCACAGTCACACAGTCGGAGCCTGAGTGTTGGGGTTGGCTGATTGGGTCCCCGGTGGAGGAAGCCTAAAAGACAGACTCGAGCCACAGGAGGCTCCTTCAGTCGCTCTGCCATCTTCAAATGGGCCACACAAGCTTGTTATCTACATTCAGAGAGGAACGTAAGAGCTAATGCCCAGGATTTGTGTACACACCTTTGAAGAGGTTTGTTGCAAAAGTGAGATATCTTTTGCTTCAAACATCTGACAGCTGCACTTACTACATTTGAGCATGAAAGCATAAAAACTCCCCACCACACCTGGCATGGGACCAACTCTCTGGAAAGGACTGAGATTCAGTTGGAATAAAGTGCCGTCGTTTTACTTTTTCTTCTCAGTGAGTGTCTCATAAACAACAATTCTTTGACAAAATGAAGTAAAAACCTTACTGTGAAACACAGAGAGAAAGAAAAACCATCTCTCCATTAATGTTTCAAAGCCAGTGTGACGTCCAACAGATGATGGTGACTGGTAAATGCAATTTGTTGTGTTGGTTCATTGACTGTTATTTAGTTCCACATAGATAAGAATGCATCTCCTTCATTTAGCAGTGAATAGCCAAAGCAATTCAAACTCACTTCAAGTTGCTTTTGACAGATTCTTTAAAGAACGACTCTAATTATGCTTTTATTCATCAGTTTCCATGAACCATTGAGCAGTGATTATAACTGAAGATGATCTTTTCAGCAGGGGATGAACTCTATGGCAGATTAAACCCACACACACATTTGTTGTATAGACTGGGGACAGTGAAGGAATGAGGAGTGTGTCTTACCTATGTGTTTCCCATACATGTGGTAGAAGAAGCCGAAGCAGTAGGCAGGCGGGTTGGTGATAACGTAAGGGTTTTTAGGTGCTATGTTGAAAAACGGACTGACTAGTCGCGCTTTCTCATCTTCCTTCCGTGGTCTTGATGTCTCAATGTACATGTAGAAACCTAGAAACACAAATAAGACAGTCAGTGTAACAATTATACCCACAGAATCAATAAAAACAAGCTCTGAGATGATTATACAGATTGGGAACAAGCCAAGACTGAAGCCACATTATCTAAATCACTTTATTCGGATGAAAAACCAAAGGTGGTTGAACCCTGGTTTAGTAATAATCCATCAATGCAAATACAAATTGTGAGGATATAGTTTAAAGGAATGTTTAACAGACAGTTTAGGTAGTAAATCCCTCTGAGGCGCACTGCCTTTGGACGATCAGCATTTTCATTTACGGCCATCAAGCACTGGAATACTCTTCCAGTTGAACTTAAAACCTGTACTGATTTTAACTCGTTTTCCTATGGTGCAAAAAAAATGATATTAAGCAACCAGTCATGCCAACATTAATTACACTGTAATCTGAGTTTATTTTTTTGAACTGTACTGTCATACTATATCGTAGATATTTTATTTAAGTGTATTTGAAGTGTACTAAGTGTTATGTTCGTAAACTGAATTTAAATCAGGCTTTGTAATTATTTGAGTGACCGAGATCATGTAAGTGTATTTCAAGTGTACTATGTATTAATTTATTGAGCTGTACTTAAATCAGGTTTTAAAATGGTTTGACTGATAGAGATCATGCAATGTTATTATTTGTTTATTGATTGTTATGAACCTGTCTGAGGACCACAGATGGAAATGAGCTATTAGCTATAATCTGGCATATTGCATCTCTTCTCTTTGCTGAGATTAATGTTTTTGTATGCATGGTCCTTCTATAAATACATTTTTGAAAAAAAAAAGTAGTCTATCATGGGCAGATGCTTCTAAACCCGTCAGATTGTCAGGTTACTCATCTTTCTTGTCCGGTCCAGATTTCATTTAGTATCCCCTATAGGGCAAATGTATTCAGTTTCTTTATGTAGTGCTGTATAGAATGTGTTATCTGAATATGCCTCGTGGCTGTCTTCAGGACACAGGACAAAGTCGTTGTGCCTTCCTGGGAAACTGCACAGTAGATGTACCCTTTGAAAAAGATGAGTGTTTGTCAGACTGTGTTCAGACTCCCACAACTACTTTGTGATTGCCCACAGATACACCGGGAAATCATTTGTCACTGTAGACACCACAAGTCCTCCTTGGTCATGCTCGGGCATATTTTTCAACCAGTTTGCGATGACATGATGGAAATGAAACCCTCTGTATAAGAGATAAGGGGCAGTAGGACAGTTTTATTTTTACTAATAGCAGAGGTGGGAAGTAGTGGAGTACAAATACTTCGTTACTGTGCTTAAGTACATTTTTCTGTTATCAGTACTTTACTCCACTACTTATTTTTCTGACGACTTTTTACTTTTACTTCTTATAAAATTCTAACACAAATACCTGTACTTTCTACTTCTTACATTTTCAAAACAGGCTGGTTACTTTAGTTTTAATCTGTGTTTAGTGGCCTGATCATTATTATTTAGAGTCATTGCGTGTCTGTTGATTTTAACACGATCCGTGTATCTGTCATTTCCTGCTCTTCTCTAAAGAAGAGGGACCAATGAAAACGTTGTCATGTTGCCGTTGTTCAGCATCGAAACATTCATTAGCTAACAATGACATTATTGTTCTATTGATATAAAGGGAGGTCAGTTACTAAAGCAGTTGGTAGTTATGGGTACTTTTGACTTAAGTGCATTTCGAAGCCCATACTTCTTTACTTTTACTTGAGTAAGGAAGTTTAGTCAGTACTTCTACTTTTATCAGAGTATTTTTAAACATGAGTATCTGTACTTCTACTTGAGTAAAGGATGTGTGTACTTTTGCCATCTCTGACTAATAGCAACAACCAGGGGCGAATCAAGGCGATAACAATGGGGTTACATTTCTGCTCCCTCCGTCTGACGGTGGCGGACAGCACGGTGACGGCAGCGAGTCAAACTGCCCCCCACCGGTCCTGTCTGTGCCACATGATCTAAAGCCAATCTCCACCCTGCCACCGGCACAGGGAAGGTAGCTAGTGAGCACGCCCCTGCAGCCAAAATCAAATGGAATATCTCCCTCAGTTGAATCTCATATCAGATAATTATACGAAAAGAGGAATGGGGCCGGTAATGAAATGCTGGACATTTGGAAACCATTAGGTGATTAAAGCCAATGCATTATTTACTGCTTCAGCTGGTGCCGGTGCCACAGCGCCATAATAGGCACTTATACTCCACCAAAGATACCACCCATCAGCAGATTCATATGAAATCCTGCAAATCCAATTATTTTTTATTCTTTATTCATTAAGTTCTCGAATATTAAATACCTGCACATGTAACTTACATATTGGATACTTTTTCCTGTGCATATTTATCTGGTTGAGGTACCCATGGAAACAGCAGCAGAGAACATTTATTCTTACATTAAAATGATCAAGGCTGCTTATTGTTTAATTGTGTTGCATCAAACAATTGATGACCCAAGTGTACAGAGAATAACATCTATTATAGAGCCAAGAACACTGGATTATTTCTATCTTATTATAAAAAGATGAAGAAGGGAAACTTTTTGTGAACTGTTTGTTTAGTTGGTACAATCCATTCAATGCTAATTTTACATCTTGCCAGATAATTTAGCAATGACATGATAATGACACTGTTTGCCTGGTGCACTGTAGGGATTCATTTATTCATGCATGGGTTACATAAGAAATAACAGAGTGGTGTCCATTTAAATGTGTGCATTCAACCGAGGTTTTTCCAATCCAATGAGCAGGTGCAGTGTGTTCAGAGCCGCTCTGACAGCTGGCAAAAATAACCGCTTACACTTACAACAACTGTTTTTTTTTCTTAATCCTGCATAAATTGCAATATGATTGTTCAGCTAAATCTATAAACCCCAAGCTGTGAAAAATATATTCCCTACCTGGCTCACTGATAAGTGAATGTTGAGTCGGTAGGTGATTTGTATCTAACTTTATCTACAGGTATATAACATGTATCCAACTATACTGTATATATCTTTTCTCTGCATACACATATTCTAGTTCAGTGGAGCAGAAGTCTTTCTCAGCATGTGTGGTGTAAAAACAGGGATACACTGAACAAGTCTAACACATAGACAAACTAGAGATGTTAAGATTCACCGATTCGCATCGGTGCACCGGCATAAACGTTCAAGATGCGAGTGCACCGGTTGAAAGAGTGCACATCGGCTACAGTTTGGGTTGAACCGGGTTGAACTCGCGATGCATCGATGGCGTAGCATCTTTGCATCGGTAAAAAACCGATTCATTCATATAAAATCCCCTCATCTTGTCAACGCTCAGCAGAGACGATCTTTGATATTTGCTTCGCCACTACGGAGGCCGAGAGTCTCAGTTATCAACACACACGGAAGTTGAGGAGAAAGAGAAACACAGCGCACTGAAAAATACCTACATATCAAACGTTTGGCAACACTTCGGATTGTTCAAGTTAGACGGTGTAATAGTCCTTTATGCTATATAGTTGACCGCAGGTCATGGAGAGTAATAAGGTATCCGTAGACCTTTGTATGAGGTATCTTTATTACTTAACAGGTCTACAGCCATGATACATAGATCCGTCCTAGATGCGGGCTTGTATACACACAGTATCACTCCGCAGCCGCACCCCATCAGTAACGTCCTGATGGTATATGTGCGCGGCACTATATACTACAGACGGTCAACTTGAAAAATCGCTCGCAAATTGTTAACGATGCCGAGCCGCTTTAAAGTACACAAGTAGTACGAGGAACTTAGCGACGCACATAAAGAGGCGACATGGGGTCTGCGGCTGAAAAGAGAAACCTGAAAGTTAGACATATGAGTTAAATCACTCAGTGAGGTGTTCTGTCAGAGAGAGTGGTGTTTAGTTTACAGCAGCCTGTGACGGCCAATAATAATTTAAATGTCTTCCTTACTGTAAGCAGTTATGAAATACCTGTTTGTGAAAGGTTATTTGTATTCTTTATTGTTCATATAGAACCCACTGCTTTCTGCTCACTGGTGAGTTAGCCTATGAATGAGTGTTAAGCACATCAGGCAGCAGCTGTATGGGCATTGCTCTATGGTAGCTGTTATTTGCACATTGTTAATCATGAGCAATGTAGCCTTACATTGTTTAACTGTGAGGTGTTATACAATTGTACTCTGGAGAGCTTTTAAAGGCAAAAAAATAAACGGCATGATGGGATGTGCAGTACCAAATATATAAAGCACTTTTTTGTTAATGTATGATTTGCTGCATATAAGGAATAAAACAAAAATCCTCTGTCATACCATATTGAAGTATTATTTTTGCATCGTGTTGAATCGTATCGCACCGAATCGCATAATGTTGAATCAAATCGTATCGAACTGTATCGCAACAGGGGTGAATCGTATCGTATCGCATCGCCTGGTGTTTCAAATGTATCGTTAATGTATCGTATCGTGGCAACGTATCGAGATGCGCATCGCATCGGCCTCAGTGATGGAGATGCACATCCCTAAGACAAACACATTCACACTACCATTGGCAAAGCAGAGTTTCCGATCCAAGCCTAGGTTATTACACATGATTGGACTGTTGTGAACAGAGAAATCACCGTGCCCCCATGAGTATAAAGCTATAAAAGGGAATGCTCAATCAAATCATCTCCTTAATGATGATTCATCAAAGGAACCAATAAGCCGACCCTTTGCTACAGTAGGCCCCCTGTAGCTATCTGGGTCAAAATATAATTTCTATAAGAACACATTCAGAGGCAGATTTAAACTCAGTTATTTTGAGAACAATGCATATTCCCATTACGTTTACTATTTTCTAGCCATAGGCTGTTGATTTTGTTATTAGAAATGAAAATTGTTGCTAGCTGGTTTTATCAGGTAGCTAGCTTATTAATGCTAACTTTATGAGTTGGTCGGAAGCCTGTTTTCACATGTAATCCTACCCAAACTTCTCCCCTTTTGTTCACTCCAGTGCTCTCTCTCTTCCGGTACCTGTTGCTGAATATGTCTCAGACACATTCATTATGACAGTTGCGAAAAAGCGGAGCTAACAAAGGAGTCAGCTTGAATCTGAAGTTGAATTAAATGGATGGGCCAATTTCGTACTTATTTCAGAGATTTATTTTCTGTTTTGACAACTTATATTGACTGGATGCATCTTTTTTTGTAAAAGACCCTCTCCGGTAATAAAACTTGGTTTATTGTTCATTGTACTCCACTTGGATGTTTGGGTTTCACTGCGCAGAATAATTGATGTGCAGAGTTTGTTTTGAAATCTGCTGACAGGGGGAAAGTTTCTGTGTGCTCACCTTAAATCTTAGTGTGGTGTTAAAACTTGAGGCGTTCAGCAGGCGCACGCTGAGAATGGAGTTTTCAGTGAAGTGGCATACATACAAGTGTCTAACAGATTTGAATATTCAAAGATTTCATACATCATCATTTTAAATAGTATCTTTATAGCTAGGGAGTAAGCTAGTTAGCTGAGCATGATAATGTTGGACTTTGACGTTAGAGAATATCATCAATTGTTTAATCCATTCCTTACATTTTCGCTCTTGTTCGGTTTCTTGGTCATTAAAGGCCATTTTAAATGTTATCAGCTGGTTGCATGAGCATTATGAGTGGTTCTCATGAATATTCTAATGTGTCAATTGTGCCTACTTAAATTGTTAAAGTTAAAGTAAATCAACACAAGATAAAGTGAATTTTAGGCAAAAAAGTACTTGGTTAGCTTTAGCGAAATTATTTTGGTTGGGTTAAATTAACTATGATTGTAAAGTGAAAGTGAAACTTAACATTGTATACACAAAGTCAAAACATTCTCGGTCTCTCAGGTGACTCTTGCATTGGTCTTCAGGATGTATGTTGATGTGATTTGTATCAATTGTCCCCAACCTACATCCTTAAGGACTTTTGGGCTCTCCATACAATGTCAAATGATATTACGCCTTTGCTACTAGTTGGAGTAGCACCCAATTGAAAACTGAAAACCACTGAAAAGGCCCATTTAGTTGGTTGATACCATTTGAACCGGGTTAAACTCTTAGATACTAAGCATTAGTCCTACTAAAGCTATGCTATGATTGTGCTATTAATGTATGGGGATGTGTTTAGTAAACAATTGAGACTTTGAGAAGTTCTTACCCTGTTTGGAACCGCTGCGGTCCCCGCTGGGCCCGGTGTTGGGGGTGTACTTGGTGTCTCTGGTAGCAGCGCTGTGCCTCGTCCAATCAAAATCGTCATTCTTGTCCTGGGTGAACATGCAGATGGCCTCCTCCTCAAAGCTGCAGTGGAACTCTCCTGGTGAGCGACAGAGCAGAACCAGGCTCTAACATTCACAGCATTATGAAAGAGTGAGATCTTACACACTGCCTCGTAGGTACAGTTAGCGTGCAGCCCGACACCTACTGTATATTCATGAGATTTATGAGTGTGTGCATGTCCCCGGGGCATACATAACAGCAAAGTCCTAATTACACCACACTATCTGTAAAAGAGTTTCTAAATTAAGATGTGACCTCTCACTGACTGCGGTGGAGACGTCATGAGTGCGTTTGCTATTTTTCCTGACAACGAAAGGAAGTCTCTGCAGGAAGAGAGCAGCACCCAATGGCAGTTTGTGTGTGTGTGGAAAAGAGGGTGGAAACATAAAATTGGGTTTCTAAATGTATCATAGTTTAATAGATACAATTCTAGAAGTAGCATAAGGCGTAAATAAATGACTGTGAATGAAAAAATAACCCTTTTTTCAAGATTGAATGTAAAAATGGTTGTCCTTGGATGTATTGTAGTGTCTGTTATCAGTTTTTAAAATTGACACCAGCTCTTCATCTTATTTTTAGTGGGTGTGCAGGTGGAGATATTGGGTGCTCACCCTTCGCCCTCTCTTCTCCTCCATCACTTTGCAAGACCGCAATTTTTAAACTAGTGGAGTGTGCAAAGAGGCAGTGAAGCTAAGTTTCATCAACCTTCAAGAAATGAATTAAAGTCATCTCTGGCGTGGGGTTAAAATGGGTCACATGTCGGTGAATGCCGGACAGAGACCGTACTTATATTCAGAAATCACACGTGCAGGGAACTAGCCCATATTGAAGAGGGAACCGGCAGGATCAACAGTGTCAAAATCTCGATTTAATCCATGTAACAGACAAAGCAATAACACCTAACCAGAGGACACAGCACTGCTGAGCAGTGTCCTCACAGAGATAGTAAAAAGGAACATTTGGATTCAGGATGCAGGCATGTGTTCTGATAAATATTCATTGATTTATTAAAACGTAGCTGGGAGCAGTTTGGAGTGGTGACCTTGAGAGGCGCAGAATCTGCAGCTTTTGCTCAGGTAATGGAGGTAACATAGACTGAGGTAGTGTGGGTGGACCATGGGAAGGAAGAAGGGCAGAGCTGCTGCCAGGCAGAGTGAGATGGAAAGTGAGTCTAGGAGAGGAAGAAGTGGGGAGGGCCGGGTTGTAAACACTCTTGACTCCTCTCCTCATAGGGATGCAGATTTAAATGGAGGTCTAGCTCCCGGCGCTAGACACAAACGCCCTCATCCACTGTGAGCTAAACTAAATGTTTTCGCCTTGTGCGCCCAGGAGAGATAGGAGGATTTGGAGGCGAGGCAGAGGAAGGAGGGAGGAAGAGGAGGCGTGCAGGTAAGATAGCTTCCTTCGGGGATTTGGATAATGATGTTGGTGATTAGGATGTTTGTTATTATGCTGGCAATGTTTGTGCGAACACCCACCAAAATATGTATCTATACAAATAAATAAACCGCGGTACACGGCAGCACAATGCAGCACGGCAGACAATGATTAAGAGAGGATTCTCAAGGCGTGAATAATGCAAATTTGTAAAGTTTCGACAATGAAATGTGTCATAAATGGGACTAAACATTAAAGGATATAAACATACGGCACAGATGCATGCATAAGTAATGCACACACACACACACACACACACACACACACACACACACACACACACACACACACACACACACACACACACACACACACACACACACACACACACACACACACACACACACACACACACACACACACACACACACACACACACACACACACACACACACACACACACACACACACACACACACACACACACACACACACAAAATGCACTTTGTCCTGCAGAGATGTAAAGCTCTCAACATGTCAGATGGCCTGCTGCAGGATTCAAAAGGAAGTCAAACTCATCATACTTCATTAGGTAAGAATACTTAGAAGGATGTTCCAGTGCAGTGTGACATGTTGAGAGTCAGATCTCTACGGGGTGTGCAGTTACTTGGAGTCTCCCCACTGTTCTGGCAGACTGTGCTGCGACATACGGAGCTCGCTCTCTGCTGAGCCATGCTAAGTGAGGTGCACATTACTTACTCAGGTGAGGGTTGATGGGAGCTGTGAAAGAGAAAAGGCCAAAGAGAGTCATTAGTAGGGAATATCTTAGCCGTCTGTTAATAAGTGAAACGCTTCTTAAAAGGAAACGCACAGCGAAGCGCACGCAGGCACTCAAACTGTCGCTCTTTAAAAACGCTTGTCTGATATAATGTGCTCCACCACAGGTGACAGAACATACAAGACGTACATGCTCACAGTCGCTGTGCTATTACCCTTTCCGCCTCGCTGTCATGTAATGTTTAGGCGCAGAGCTAATAAAAGCCTACATGTATAAAAAGTTAGAGCTGGCACAGTAAACTTAATGAAAGAGGCCCGTGGGAAATATGGTCCTGTGATATTAAAAAACTGGAAGCATATTGGAGGTACGCTCCATCTTCGTCACGCTCCATTGCCTTCACAGTGTACAAATAAAAAAGTAAAGAGCTAAACAGGATGCAATCGGCCGGCACACACAATGCAATTACCATGGAGCAGACAGACAGAAGAGATGTCTGGGATTTAAAGTGGAGAAGGTGACAGCTGGGGTTATCAAATGTAAAAGACAGAGGGATTAGGAAGACCAGCCTGACCACATTAATAAGCTTATAGCGCAAATGCTTATCATTATTGCCATTTACCGACATTGCTGATGTTCTTGTTCAAGGGGACTTCCATTAAGAGCACTTAGCCTGTTTTATACTTCCATTAGAAGCCGATAAATCATAGAAACGAGTAACAATCACAAGTGTGTCTGCTAATCACTTTCCTGTAACATCCTTGATTCTTCGTGTGGTTTCAACACCGCCATTATGGAAACTTTTACACCAGTGGCTTGAGTCTAGTGAAATACATGCAAGGTTCTTTGTGCTTTCTGTCCACCTCACCGCGGTTCAATACCTCCCCTCATTGATAATTTAAGAGGCTACCGCCGCAGCAAACACAGAAAGGTCAAGGGTATCACGCAGAGTTGCAACGAGCCAGTTAGTCGGCACTTCACTTTTTGCAGAGTAAATACCATTTAACCTGTCAAGAAGATTCATGGGCATTTTCATGATCGATTGCTGACCGGCTGAATAGATGCGATACATCAGCTTTACCACAAAACTACGTCGCCCCGTGATCTATGAATGCTTGCTGCTCATGGGGGGGGAATTGATTTGAATCCTACCAATTAAAGTGAGTAATAACAAATCATTCCCACAAAGGAAAACATGTACTGAGGAGTGGGGTTAGTACCGCGGGGACGGTGGAATTGCTCTTTTTAAAAGCAGAAACTCAACAAGTGATTTCTGTTTATTGCCGTGCGGTTCATAGAAATGTGTGTCCACTTGTACAGTGTGGAGAAAAGAGGAAATAAGCACAAAGGCACACGCAGAGAGAGAAGGGGGGGTGGATAGAGAGAGAGAACAAACCATTACATTTCCAATTGAATCATATAAAACATTCAGTGAACTGCAACACTGCAGCTGGAGCCTCGCCACAAAGTGTGGAAAGAACAGGCTGTGCACTATAAAAGCTTTAATAATCCTTATGTCACCGATCCTGAAGAAACCGGCACCCAAACACTGGATGCTTCCTCCTGAAACGACGCTGTGCTGCACAGAGAGGCACTGCAGAGAAATCATCTGGGCTGTTGCAGAGAAACATTTTTAAATGACAACTCACAGCCTCGGGCCGCTGAAACGGGTGCTGAATTTTCTGAGAGAACTCCATTCTTTTCAGCATCCCCTCTTTACCTCGCAGCATCCCGTTTCCCTGCAGCTGTCCTCACACCTCTCCCTCCTGCCCCCTTCTTTCTTCCAAGACAGTGGTTATGAAAATATGTTTCCTTGTCACTATTTTTTTAAACCTGCACCCTCCCCAGGCTGAATCACGGTGACTTAGTCCAGATGAATGTGTCTGCTGGAGCTCCACCCCCGCTGATGAAATCAAGCCGAGCACAGAGCAGGCCCAGAGGGGGCTCAACCAGCGCTGTGCATGCACACACACACTTCCAAAAAAATACACACACAATACCGGAATTAACTACCAATTTGGATGACTGTATTGGAAAATGGAAAGCAAACAAGGAACAAAATGAATTCAAGGTGTTGATGTTCAAGCCTCGTCCTCGAATACTTCTGTAGCTCCGGAAAAACATGATTGGACCTCAAACACTCTCATCAAAATGCCCCATGTTGTTATAGCATTGGTGAAAAAAGCCCTCAAGCAACTGCAAAAACTTTACAAAAATATGGCTTTCTCGCAGTTACACTGCAGCACTCAGCTTTCCCTTCAAGCTACTAAAAAACACTCAAATAATGATCCAGGGTCAAACGTAATCTTGATAGTTCTCAAGATAAACAGTCCTTGTGATTGCGGTGTGAAGTGAAGTGAGTCTACAACGCAGCTATTTGAAAACTTCTGTTATGAAAGGGCATGTCCTCAGCCTACAATCACTATAAGTTTTATATCTTCTTCCTGCTTTTCCAACTCAGAGGACAAAGCAAACTGTTGCTTGATGCATGACTGCGTTCCATCCAAATTGCCTAATTTTGATTGAAACACAAAGTGAGCTCATTGACCGCCAAAGGACAGCGGTCCGTGGAGGCTGTTCCAGATACACTGACTTCATCTTGGCTGGGTTCCCTGCCCACTGGCCTGAGGCTGTATTACAAAGCAGCAGACGATTCCATGGCTCCAGCCAAGTGTCCTCAAAGACAACAGCAGCCCAGCTTCTTCGTTTTTTTTTCACTGACCTCATATCATTCACGCTCTCAGAGATTCCCATCCATCACGTTTAGGGGGTCTGGGTGGGTGCCATGACGTTCTGAGAGAGCTTTGTGATTGTTTCACAGCTAATACCAGCGTGGGCAAATGTAATTCTGCAATCTTCCCCTCATGTCTCCAGACATGAAATAACACAAGGGACTTCACACTAGTGTGTCCTTCGATCAAACTGAACACACCCAAACACAGCCTCCCCGTGTCAGTAATCTCCTGTGTATTATCCTGCTCTTGCATCAGCGTGTATAACACATTGATGCAAGCAAGTGAATCCTTAATAGACTTCCACATGGATGAGCTCTAAATAGTGGTCTAAAACGCAAGAATGCACAACAAGTTATATATATATATATCATAATATAATCAATAATGCTACATGTTAGTTCTGATCTTTCTTAAAGGGGCCCTATTCTGCTCATTTTCAGGTTCATATTTGTATGTTGTGCCTCCACTGTGACATGTTGAGATGCTTCAATGTTCTAACGGGTCTTTATTTTTCTCATACTGCCTGTGCTGCAGAACCTCTTTCACCCTCTGTCTGAGACCAGAGCCCAGTCTCCTCTGATTGGCTAGTGGGCCGGCTCTGTTGTGCTTGGTCAACCCCTTAGAGATGACCCGCCCCTTAGCCTATCACGCAATAGAAATGCAAGAGTTACGTAGTGATGTAAAACAAACAAAGACGTCCAATTTAGGGGTTTCAGGTTGCAGTCTGTGGGAGAGACACTCCCTCTGGAGGGAACTTTGCAGACCATTTACACGCACAAACACCTATAACACACTACGGAGGCAAACCCCCAAAAAAGCATTATAGGCAGGGGTGCACATAACTTTTTTGCCCTGGTTCTCAAAGGAGCACCTGGAGATGTTGCTTGGTGCTCATCCATAAAATGAAATAAACCGTAACTTTTGAGGGGGTCTTGACTTTATTTGCCAGACACACGGCACTGAACACACAGAGGTGAACACTGAACACACACACAGAGGTGAACACAGAACACACATGCAGTGGTGAACACAAGACAACATTAGCACGAGCAGTAATCCTACAAGCTGTCATCACTACCCTCCTGACTGTTCTCCTCACTGTCTTCCTCTCTGTCAGACATGGTAGCTGATGATGTAGGCCTACTACTTTCTCTCTGGTTGAGTCTGCGATTAGATGCTTGCATCCACAAGTCAACAGCTGGGTTTGGTTATGTTCACATACTTATTTGATTACATCCACTTGTCTAAAATGACAGCTCTGTTGTCATCTTAGACAAGTGGATGTAATCAAATAAGTATGTGAACATAACCAATAACCTACCATAGCCAATAACAAATGAATGTAACTTATTTTATTTGTGTTGTTCATTCATATCTTATTTTACCTTAACATTTATTTATTTATGCATTTTTTGTATCTTTCCAGTTTTAAACGATATGTCTGGTTTACTGTCCTATAGTATACATTGGAATTATTTCAAACCTGTGTATCCCAATAATTATAAAGGAGTGCCTTGGAAATATGTGCTTACAGAAATTGTGATCAAAACGTTTGAGACCCACTGAGATAACTTAGACTAAAGTGAACTATCTAAACACTCAGAGTCCTTACCTCACTGAGCTGTAGTATCAGCCTCTCAGTCTGACTGGAGAGGACTCTCCCTCCACATCATTGTAGAAACATCTTCTTCTTATATCCGTTAGAGCAGCTAGCACCAGATTCTAATAACAACTGCGCCAGAACCGGTGCACCCTCCCTCGCTCCCTCGCTCACTCGCATTTTGGCTGTGAGCTGCGGGCGCCAGATAAGCCAACATCCCCCATTTTCATCACTTACAGCGCCCATCGTACAGGGCAAATGAAACGTGTAACCGGGATGAAAAGGGTGTTACATTTACTTAATTATGAATGTTGTTACATCAAGGCCGAAAATTAGGATGAGCCCCAACGGTCAAAAATGTTTTTTTCCCTCCCAGAGCTGCCAGCGCAGCACCTCCCCAGATCTGGCGCCCTAGGCGAACATCTATAACGCCAGTGCTACGGGCCGGCCCTGAGTTCATATGCAACTCGCAAATATCTTTCTCTCTCTCCTCTCTTCTCTCTTTTCTTTTCTCACTTTTCTCCTCTCTTCTCTCCTCTCTTTTCTCTTCTCCCTTCTCTCTCTCCCTCCCTCCTCACTCTCTCTTAATGTTGGTACGCAAATGCGCCTTTTTTCAAATGACCCGGTGCTCTTTTTTTGGCGGAGGTGCGCATGCGCACCTGCGCACCAGTTATATGCAGCCCTGATTATAGGGTCCCTTTAAACAAAGCTGGCTGGTAACGTTTCATATTTAACAGACAACCATGAGAGTTGTATCTATCTTCTGTCGCCCCAAAGTGAATAAGTGTGTTGACCAAAATGTCGAACTATTCCTTCAACTAAAACGATTTCTATGAAAAGAAAACATGTCAAAGGAAGTTATTACAGTAGATGAGAAAGCAGCTGCACTGTGTTTTACAAACCACTAAGCCTTCACTACTATGTTGCTGCAATTAAAGTGTTTTTCAGTATTTATCACATTTTCAAGAATTCTGTCCAGGAAAAAATACCCTGCAATAAAACAATATTCTAAAGAAAACCCTACGTTGACAGCTTGAGGCTTATATCAGTAAAAGAGAAAACTAATAATAAAATATATGTTTTCCCAAAGCTGTGATTCATTGAATTCTCAGGTAAACAGAGACCATGACTGAACAAAGCTCAGACAGGGATTATACTGAACCACCGCTGGCCGAATATTAAGACCCCAACACCACCGCTATGGCAGGCAACAGATATTATCTAAAGCAGAAAAACTGTATTTAATATAAGACTTAGTGGGTATCGCCTTACAGAGAAACATCTTACTGTATGTGTCACTAGGAGCTGCATAAAAATGGAATATTAAGAAATATCCGCAGTGTTTCGCCGTGCCACAGTGAAGGATGACAGGAGGCTCAGACATTACTTCCTGTGCCATGAAGGAAACCAGGGAGAGAGGGAGAGACGGATGTTGTGAGGAAAACCAAACAGATGCTGAGTTTGTCACTGCAGCACAATTTAAAAGAACGTCTTTGGGGCTCCGCGACACAACCATCCTTCATCCTACAGCTGGGGACACTATAACCGCCTTTGTGCTTTCTTGCCAACTCACAGAAAAGCTGCTTCCATCGGCTTTATGTGCATCAGAATGATCGCATGGCCTACTGGGCAATGGCGAGCAAACTCTCTAATACTTCAATTTTAGTGGCCTTTTGGTGGAAGGAGGACAGCAATGTTTATTCTAACAGCTAACAAAGCGGCTATCATATTTTTGTTGTTTACTTTGGACAGACACATTAATTTTTACTATCGTGGGGAAATAGAGAATATATTTGTTGGTATAGTGAAAGCAAGGCTACTATTGCATGGCAAGCATACAAGCACACACAGTTGGACAAACACAGAAAGAAAATACTCTCACATCTACGCCTGAGGGTTATTTGGAGAATCCTAACTTGTATGTCTTTCTGATTTGTAGAAGGGAATCAAAGCAAACACAGGGAAAATGTGCAAACTCTGCAGCATAACCAGAGGCTAAAGGTGAATTCCCCCTCACTGCTTTCCAGGAGTGAAACAACAGTGCTAAAGAAAACCGTCACGCACTGTGATTACTGAATTTTAATGCAGAATATGTCATCTTCTCAAAGTACTCCGTTTATGTGTCTGATTCAAAATGCAAGAGTCAAAGGTTTAGCATTTTTTCAACATATTACAAATAGCAAATGACCCACTTGCAAGCCAAACTATAAAAACACTTTTTTTGTGCTATATTTGAGCATTAAAACAAAACCTCAGTCAAGGCCTGTCCTTGTACTTTTAAATGCCAGCTGGGTAATTCAAAATGAAAATGGGTAACTGTGGAATGGTAACACTTTGAACAGGTTTCTATCTGCAAAGATGAAAAAAACTGTTAATACTGAATACTAACTGACCAAGTACATTGTTTTTTTGTAAGTATAAAAAAAAATCAAATCAAAATTAACAGATTCAGGTTAAGACGAAATACCACTGCATATTCAACTTTACCAGTAGATAGCTTCTTTTTTTGTCATTTTCTCAAAAGCTTTTACCACCATCAGCTTTTGTTTGTAGTTTTGTATCCCAGTGGTGTACACACCTTAGCATACTAACTGTTTTGAGTGTACTAACTTTCCCGGCGTCAACACACCACAGTACATACTCAAACCCTGCATAAATGTTGTATGTACTGCCTGGGGTTGCATTAGCTGAATGGCATCTGCAGCTAACGCCTGGAAATCAGAGTCGATATAACATGGCACTTCTCACTATTACCCTGCTCCTCAGCACCTGTCAATCATCACTGCTTTAGGTTTTATGGATTTAAGTATTTAATCATGTACGTGTTTATCAAGGTTGGATACATTCTCTTAGCAGAATCCTCATCAGATAATTCAAGAGTTCGCTCAAACATAGCACTTATCGACAGAATTGTGCTATTAATGGTCAGTTCTTGGACGTCAGTGACTCAAACAGAAGCGTAGCCGTCAGTAATAAAATTGATAAATATAGGTTGGTTAGTAAAACATCTTCTGGACTCTCTAATCTATGTCCAAGTAAAGGCATAATTGGATTACTCTTCCTCGCAATACAATATATCACTCATTTCTACATAATAAGAGTTGGAATAAAACCTGCTAACATAACGATTAACCATAGAAGCATATAAGATTATAAAATCACACACATTTATTCCATACACTTGTATTGATGTGGTTCCTGTTCCCCAGTGAGAGTGAAAAGGAAGCGATAATGGAGATGATGCAGGACTGTAGATCAGGCTGTCTTACGGGAGCAGAGTGGATCTGATCAGACCTGCCGAGGCTGCTTCATGACGCTGTGCAGAGCGTGGGAGAACAAAGCAGCCCTAGAGTGATAATTAGTCTGGTCTCTCGTTGGGCAGCCCATTCGCACATCAGCATTGCTGTCTTCTTTTTTTAACTTTGTTCCTCTATTGTTTTTCCCTCAGTCCCAACTTGGCTGCCTACCACTTCTCTAGCGCCTCTCTCTGTCTTAATTAGCCTCAATTCACTAGCCTTCACTTTGATTGGATTCAATTTTGATTCAACCGAGTTAAAATCAAGTTTAGCAGAGACGGCACAATTTGCTTCACGATGCTTGAAAAAATAACAGCACAGAAAGTTGTACGTCTCTCATCCCCGATATTCTCTTTTGAGCAGCCGTGATGAGCTGCAGTGGAACTGAATAATTCACAACTGCAGCAGCACAACTCAGGAAGACAGAAAACAGTGGGCTAGTTTGTTTCTGAAAATGCACATCTCAAGTACCTGTGCATCTGTTCACTGTCACTGCTGGGCCGACTGGGGATACTAATGTAGTGTTAGCATTGCAGCCAGCGTGTCGTCTAGCAGGCTGAAGGATGGGCCTCCATTTGCAAGAGGATATGGTGCAGGCCTGCTACACAGTACAAAGAATCTACATGATGTTGTATTACTATAGCCCTGATTTAAATAAGAACATAAACCAAATCAAGTCGTGTTATTGTCCTGATTTTGGGGCGTTGAAAGGCTTAGGACCTTTGAAAAATATTTGCGATATAAAACAAAAACGCTTTTATTTTGTGGAAATAAATCCCAGGACGTAAATAATATCTCCTGACAAAATAATTAAAAGCAATCTCACATAAAAATACATTATTTTGGGGGATAACTGCGTAAAGCAAATGTATTACTGTCTGTGTTTGGACTTGTGACTCGAGGTACTTCTGATGCTCTGATGTCACAATGATCTCACATGCACAGGAACAACAAGTCAGCCTGTGTCCGAGATCACAATAAAAGCTGACTCAGGCAATACAAGTCACAAGCACGAGATAACAATTCAGTTGATCGGACTTTACACAAAGTGACAAAAGAAGCAAAGCAAGCCTAATTTCAACTGTGTACTGACAGTTCAGGTCATTTTAAAGGGGCCCTATTATCAAAACTCCCAAAAAGCATAAAAGGGTCCCTTTAATGAGTTTAATTTCTACTGCACCTTCTTTATAAATCAAAGATAACAAAGCCTCCTAGGATCATGGTAAAGATGGCTGGTACCAGAGTGAACCTGTGATATCATCAATGTTGATAAGCATGTGTCCATATGCGGCAGCACAAACTAAAGCTGTTAAAATGGAGTTAGCTGAAGGATAACATAACTAGCTGTAGCTGTAATTCCTCCACCTGTGCAGCCACGTCTAAGTAGAATACTAAAGTGAACCTGCGTCTCCCCTGACGTGTTTTACTCTCTAATCCATACGTGGGGAGATTACAATCCAGCAGTAAGAGCAGACTGATCACAGTCCTCCTGAAAGACGGTTGATAGCACTCACCGCTGTACGTGACGATCCGGATGGTGGAGTCGCCCTCTCCGAATCGTGTGATGGGGGTCAGCCGCACCTCGTAGGATTCAGGCTTTATGAGCTCTGTCAGGTTGTGTGTCATCAGCTCTCCTTTGTTGATCGCTCCGTCCACAGGAATCTCCTGCTCCCACCAGCGCTGCAGGCCCATCTGCATAGAAAGAGATGATTACAATCAATAGACACTAAGAAGTTTTGTACAAATACAGAAATCAACCACATAGTGCTACTCAAGTAGTCGTCAGTATTGGGTTTGTATCTATCAGAATTTAAAAGATTTGAATTACATTTGAATTTAAGTAGTGCACTGTTCGTACACTTATATTATATAACTTTTGATTTGTTGCATAAATTAACAGAATTTAATCTGATGGTCTATCGTTAACGTGCTCCTATATTTTAAATACAGATGTATAAAATGCTCCTTATTCGTATAGCAACATCTTTTACCACAGTGACCTGAGCGCAAAATGTTACGTTAGATCCTAATCTTGTGCTACATTTGCATACTACTTTCTGATTCAACTGAAATCAACAGATCCTTGTGCATTTGTTTTCCTTCTGAACCAAACTCACAGTAAGGCAAAGGTATAACCCCCACCTATAAATCAATCAAGAACATGTTTGAACGGTATTGTCCTTGATGGTCAGTTTTAATCTGCCACTTTTAGGGACATTAGGTTTTAGACTAGAAAAGCTAATTTCATTGATTAAGCGAGTCTAAGGCTCTTGGCTAATTCCCTTGACTTGAGTTGCTTAGATTAGTCCCTCTTTTCATGGTTCGAAGGTCCGGGAGTGGCCTCGAGTTAATTACAGACCTCTCAGCAAAAGTTAGTCAGTGTTGAGTTTGGACCCCAGAGCGCATGTTGGCAAACAGCACTTCCACAGTCAGTGTAGTTGGTCACCCTTGAATAATGAAGTTGTACTACAAAGATCACCTTTGTAGAGTTAGAGGATCTTATACCAACCAGATTAGAGCTTGCAGAGGTATGGTATGTAGGATTAGGAATAAATTACCTTTGATATTTGAAATATATGAAACCACAGCAAATTAAAAGCAGCTATAATCAGTATTCATCAGACATTTTCATATCTAAAGAAATTGGAATGCATACAGTCAAGACTTTTATGTAGTATCACCACAAAAGTAGAGCATGTCAATTCAAAGCGTATTCTTCTGAAGCATTTGCTCCTGGGAGCGTTTTGCATACATGACCGCAGCAAATATACATTCCCCTCACCATCAGTGTTGGATGCACCCTCTCATCTGCCAATTAACCCTATCTATAGGCATTTGTATGATACGCCGCCAACATTAAATGCTACACAACAAAAAAAACATATTTTTTCACGGTAAATTGTTGACAGCTAGCTGCTCATTAGTAATATTTACTCTCAAAGCAGCTCCTAGCCTCTGAATTCAAAGACGGTTATTAACAAGCAGAAGAAACATTCCCATACTTGAAGAGAGAGAAATCCGGTTTCATTTTTCCTATTAAAAAACCCCATCTCAGTGTGGATCATACAGGCGCTGTGCGAGTACAGTAAGGACAACACCTTTGTGCTCCGTACACCATCGCCTCATTCTTTTAAAGTTGCTCTTTAATCATTCGACAATGTTTTGTAGCAGGACCTTGAACTGAAAGGAATTGTATATCTCGTTCTTTTTGCACACAAACTGTCTGTCTGTGACTAAGCTAAGGTATCACACAAGAGATTAGCTTCCGATACAAAACAGCTGCTCAGGAAATCCAAGGCAACAAAAAGGGGGGTTTGCTGCTGGGGGGCAATGAGAAGAAAAGTAGGGTAAATGTTATCCTTGAGATCGGTTAAGGGGAAGAGCCGCACAAAGACAAGTTACAGCTTCTGCATCACAATTAGTGACTTTACATGCCCTTCTCAGTCAGAGGAAAAGACGGAGTGTGTAACCAGCTGAGAGAGACAGACATAGAGAGAATGGAAGTGTGATAGCACGCTCAGTAGGTTTGTGTGTGAGAAAAATACCAATTAAGTACTAAGAGCCGGGATGATCCACAAATTACGGGGTGCAAGTTTATACCACCATTACTTTGCAGGTAAACAGGTTTTTTTGTGGCACTAGTAATTGCAGATGGAGCGCTTGCCTCTACCTTATTCAATTACACACTGTTGGATAGTGTGTGTTCGAACACTCTAAAAAGAGGCTGTGACATTTCAAACACATTTGATATTGGAATTTAAAAATGAAAACAATCAATAAAAAAAAGTACACACGTCACCCTGTTCTTTTCACATTTGGCAGTCTCTGTAATTTCTATAGATTGGTGTTGAGGGGGAGTAGAGGAAAAAGAGAAGGTGTACTTAACACTGTCCACATTCGAAAGATAAGGAAGTAATGATACAACTAACAAAGTCCAAAGTGATGTCTTTAAAAATAAAAAAAACAAAGATATTGAGCTTAATATGATACAGAGAAACCTAGGACATCTCAGTTTTGAGGAGGATGACACTGCAATTTCTGATATTTTTGATATTACTAAATTACTGTAAAGACTAATGGATTATTTTTCAGTCAATCGACTCATTGAGAATTTGATTTATCTTTGAATCTCTAATAAAAAACACAAAACACTAATACACCATGCATGATAAGTTAGATGCTTATGCAAACTTGTTCATTAAGTCAACACATTAGGATACATCAATCTGTGCCCACAAACAGTTTACGGTTATCTCCACTGAAAATCAGACATAAATACATGAAATCTAATTTGAACCGATCAGTTAACTTAAAGGGGGCATCCCCTCTGTATTTTCTTATTTTTACTTTGTGGAGCCAAAGAGCTCTACAAAACTCAATCTCACATATAACCTAATTCTCATGCTTTCACAAGTAAACCTATTCAACATAATAAAATCCAGTTAAGTCCCACTTATGGAGCATAACGTAAGTTCAGGCAGAGCAGCACATGCTGATTGGTTTCAGCTGCACGATTCACCATTTTCTCTGCCTATTACTGCCATTGTCCCTTTGTGATCAGCTCCTACAGCAATGTAAAACCGCAGATGTTTGAATGGTTCATATGCTTATTATATGCTCATTATGTCTAATGCCTGCAGCTAAAACATGAATACAAAAATGAAGCAATGATAAAACTTGAAACTAGTTTGATTTTGTTTAAGTTTAGTTGCTTTACCAAATTCATAAAATAGCCTTGTTTTGTTGTAATAGAAAACAACTGTATGGGTCTCATTAAAAATAAATATTTATTTTCAAATGGATTTGATGGCAGGTTGTATTGGGAGCGCCCTGTCACTTTACTCACAGAATAACAATATCTCGGGGTTTGTATCTGAGCTCATTAGTGTTCCCAAATCCCCCCCATCACAGCGCCTGCTTGAGCTTAGTTTAGGTGCTGGTGTAATGCTGCGAGTATAAATAAAAGTATGAAACTATATGTGCTGTAAAACATTTTTGGAGGCTTGTGTCAGGTTTAAAAACATTTAATTGGGAAAACTGTCTGTGTGTGCCGGAGCTCAAGGCAAATGGAGGCCCTTAAATGCTAGTATTAGAAAACACTGCAAACAACAAAAAGCTATTGGTTTGTATTTAAATGCTCAAATGAAATCAATCTTGAAACCTTCATTGAGAAACAACATTTAACTTCTGAGACATTTTGAATCATACACATGCTTATTGGTTTATGGATTTTGCACCTTTGTTTTGATTCCCATTAATGTTATCTGAGTCTCTGCGTCTGTGCTCGATTAAGGATTCTGTTTACATCCCATTACCTTTCATTTTTCAAATGTTACCGACAGAGGCAGAGTGCCGAATTGATTTCATTTCACAGGGTTTTTAAAGCAACTTTTAAGACAACAGCAAGACTGATCACAGCGACATCAGGTGTCAAAAGTCGCACGGAAAGTGCAATCAAAGTGACTGTTCTCTTTGACTATGGTGACTGTGTATTGCCGGCATGTAAAACATATGACTCCTATTGATCTGCCTAGACTTGACAGATCAATTGAAAACAGACGAAAGAGGAGGAGTAGAAGGAAGAGAAGACAAGGGAAGTTGATCCAAGGTGGCAATATGTAGCTGCGAAAAAGTTACCTTATAGAGGTTAGAGACAGGAAATGAGGCATCTGGACAGCTAAGAAGGCTTTTGAAGAAGTAGTATCAGAACAAGGCCAGATGTCACACCTTAACATTGCATCCTTGACAGGTGCAGTGATTTGTGTTTTGGTGGAGCTAGAGCTCCATCCCCGTTTCCCCTTCAGCGTCTGTCTCTCAGGAGAGCACTGGACGATAACACAAAGCAATCCATTACAGAGGCATAAGGTCTGCGGGCTCTGTGCATTAATTCAAAAGAGAAAATGATAATAATTCTGCGGGAATGGCAGGGGAGCTGCTGCTGGATCTATAAATAGATCTAAGTGGTGTTGTCCACGTGCCGAAGGTTTCATTACTGCACCACTCGTTCACAGTCACTATCTCTCTGTGTTTATTTATTTACAACAAGGGCCTCTACTCCTACTCATTTTCTCCTATCTCATTTCCTCTTCCACTTTTTTTTGCGCCAACTCTTTCTCACCAAAAGGTATTCAAAAGTATATTATCAGTCTAAATCAATACTGAAAGCTGAGACTTAATCCATCACAGAGGTATACTGTAAAGCCAATCCCACAAACAAATGCATTTTCCTTAAGGCAGATCATTTCTTTAATCTAAGACGATGGAAGATCGGTTGTTATGCCTCGCAGGAAGGAAATAATGGTCACAATGTACCCTCTCGAGATATCAAGGCAAGAAGGAGGAGAGAAATTAATTTGCCCAAACAACGATTTTCTGCAAACATAGACTGGTGAAGTAATATTTTCTCTTTTTATATAGGATAAAGAAAAATGTAAAGATGCAGTATAGATGCAGGCTTCACAACCCGGCTGAAAAAAAAAAAAGCAAATGTATATTCCTGGCAAGTTCTCAAACAAACTTTTGGCAAGCGCAACCATGGGCACCGCAATGCACAGCATCATTTATTACCAAACAGACCAAGTGAGAGAGATGACAGGAAAATCATTGCTCTGCGCAAACATAACTGGTTTAAAATGTGTATTCAGGGTTCAATTCCTGAGGGTGTAGTGTGAAACAAACATGAAATTCTATTATTCATTGCAAAAAAAACTGTCAGGGTTTTCTTGCTAATTCCAAAGCAGAACTGATATCATTTTGGTGTAGCAGGATGGGTTACATTTCTTTGATATATGCTCAAACAGGCTGGTGACGGGGGCTTTACAATTAGTTGAGTTAATGGAGCTTTTTTTAATCTCAAACTTTTTGTTTACTGCTGCTGAAAATAGGATATCCATAAAGACAACATGTGCTCCACCCTGCCATGTGCTATGGAGAGGAAGGAGAGGAAGGTACATTGATTGCCAAAGAGAGAAAATGTAACCATGCCATCCATCAATGCTGCTACCGGCTGTGGAGTTTACTTGAAAAGCAAAACAGGAGCTATGCTTGCTTTTTCTCTCTGTGGGGTTTCTCTCCACTCCTCTGACTGAGAGCAAAGAAACAGAAGCAATTGGTGGGAAAGCACAGAGCTGGCACAAACGACCGCCCCTGACAGGTTCTTAGTCACTCAGCGCGGTCTACAGTGGCTCATTCACTTCTTAAAAAACTGCAGAATAAGACTGTCGATGAATCGAGGCGTACGATTTGGCGATGTCAAACGGAATACAACGAGCAAGCTGTGCAAACACATCTATTGCACGCTTAATTAGCAATAAGAAAGCTTTTTACTGCCTCGTGGCGCAAATAAACTCTAATTTATCTAAGAAGGGTGGGAAAGACGCTGACCACTACAGATGACTGAGCGATTATTTTACACGGAGCCGATGTTTCTTGCTTTTAAAAACTCATGTTCTGGCTGTTACAAAAGCTCCCTGAGAACAGATTTCTGTGGGACTGAAAAACACTTTGAACTGCAACAAACAGCATTCAAATCATGCGCACGTAGGTTAAACAGAGAAAAAGAAAACAAATCAGCAGGCAGCAGGGTGAGGTGCTCACATAAACAACTCCAAGTTGACTTCAAATCAGGGACCCTGGCTCCGATTGGAATACACTTGACCACAGAGTCTAGTTTTTCTTGATAAGTAGGAACACTGTGTTACGTACTCGGGGCCCCGATCCTGTCCACTTGAAAAAGGAGGTCTCCAGTTAATGTGTACTTCAGTACGGTACAAATCAATCGTAGGCCTACCTAATATAAAAACACCTTCAGTGATCCTACCTGTCTGATGCCCAGCCTGTAGGCCACAATGCGGTCCACCACGTTGGGGTTCATCTGGGTCCACTGCAGTTTGAAGCCGTAGACTCTGGGCCGGTTCTGCCACAGCGGGCTGTAGGTGTCGTAGTAGAACTCAGGAGGGTAGGCTTTGCCTGGAGAGAAAGCACATTGATAGTATTGCATTAAAACCTACTTAAGATTAAAAACATCACACCTGAAAACCATGTGTTTGAATCTAATGGCACTCATGCCTTCTGCCAATATAGTCAGGACTGTTTTAACACTAGAACCGCCAGAGATTTGTTTATACCTAAAACTGCCACCGGGGTCAAATTGACCCGGTATTAGAATGCATTGATTCTCAAGGTAAAAGTATTGCTTTAGAAAGAAAAATGGTCCTGTGGTATTGGTATTTTGACAAGCAATTTTGTTAAATTGTTTCATTTATTAACGCTACAACATAGCGTTTCGTGAGGCGGTAGTCATTGTTGGGTGAAAAGCAAACAGCTGTTTGCTGCGGAGCGCAGCACGAGCAGTCTCCTGTGAGCGGGAGCTCGCTCCTTCACTACAGACTGTCGCTATCAATATATCTATCTATCTATCTCTCTCTCTCTCAATCTATCTCTCAATCTATAAGGAACCCAGTAGACAAAAGGCATTGCTATAGCAACACGTCATGTTTGTTTACACGCAAAATCAATAGCGCGAAAAGGGGTGGGGTCAATATGACCAGCTGACGGAAATAGGTATAAATGGCATTTTTTTGGCGATTTCTTCAATCTGACTTGATATCGACAGTTTTTAACAACATAGGGTGCCACATAACACATTTTCAGGAAAAGTCACGGAATGGGAGACTTTAATATTTTATTGAAAAAAAGTTACATACAATAAAAAGTAGCTCTGGGTCAAATTGACCCGATTGGCCAAGCAATAGAAGTAGTATTTGATAAAGTTTGGGATACTTGTGAAAGAAATATCCAAATGTAAAATATATCTCTACAGATTCTGACAAGTCTGTTTATAAAAAGCAATGAAAAAAGGATGAAAGCAAATACTAGACATGAACATGTCTCAGAAAACGTAACGTGTTAAAGTCACCATGGGTAGCATTTAGACTTGATAATATGAGTTGCTGGGATTTAACTTCAGTATTTCTTGAAAAACAAACAAAAAAGCATGTTATGGACATATTCATTTCTTAATATAGATTGTGAATGAATGACATACATTTTAGGAGTGCTTGAATCACAGTAATTGTACCAATAATGATGCTGTTACTGTACAGTGATCAAGTTGCATGTTTTACTATATTAAAACTTTCGGTACCACTTTACAATAAGACTACTCTTATAAAGGATTCATAAAGGGTTTATAATTAGGTTGTAAACACTTTATTAATCATTAAGAGCCATTTATAAACCAGTTCTAACATAGTTTTCATATATCAACACAGGCTCACTATTTGGCAAGATGACTAAGCCTTATATTGGCACTAGCTTACTTCGTCTTCTTCATCAGCCATCATCCTTGGTATCTGTTGCTCACTGAGTTGATTCTCCCCCCTTCCATCTGGATGTTTCTTGGTATCTCTTTATGAACATTTATTTATGAGTTACTAACATTTATAGTTGCCAAAAGGGAGCCTTATTGTAAAGTGTGAAACACATTCCCATTTATTAATGAGTTACTACCATTTCTAATAAGGCTTAGCAGTACAGATACATGTGGGCTCACTATTTGCTTATGTCACTATGTCTTATAAAAGCTTATTAATGATTTATAAAGTGTTCATAACCTAATTAATAAATGAATTACAAACTATTCATAAACCCTTTATAAGGGTAGTCTTATTGTAAAGTGGTACCGTTGAGGTCAAACTGTCAGATATAACATTGCATGATGGAGAGATGTAATGTTATATCTGACTGAATGACTCAAAACAGAGATGAAAATAAAAAGGTTAGTGCAGATATATTGGCACTGCTGTAATGACTCAGCTGAACAGTACTTGTTTTTAGGTTTGTTGCTAGGTTATAATAGTTATTATTTATAATATGAGATCTCAATACATTGCTTGCATTTGTATTCATTACAAACACTGTGCAGGCTTGCCATTCTGCACATGTAAACGTTGTATCATTTGTTCACATAGTAACACATCTTTAAAGCTTCTTTAGTGACTTCTTTAAAGAAACGCTGAATTAGCATGACAAAGACTTACAGTATCTCTTATCTTCACTATGTTCAATTTGTTCTATTCCTATCCGATCTGTATGATATTCCTTGTTGCTGCTGTGACCCAAATTTCCCTGAAGGATCATTAAATATGAATGTTCTGTTTCGTGACATACAGTACTTTTGAATCAAAGCGTGTAACAGATTGTATGTTTCATGAACGTATAGCTACGAGATTCTGATGTATCGATCCAAGATGCTTTAAACTCAAGTTATCTTCTCAGTAAAAACACATTTCATTCAGATCCAGACTACCAAAGAGATTATCAGAACGCTTGAATTACACAGCCTGCTCTGTAGACATCTGTGAGTTTTTTTTGACGGCGATCGTTGCATGGACTGAACACATCTTTCAAGATGTTGTGCTTTCCGGTCACAGCCTGAGAGCCGATATATCTGACAGCTGAAGTACAGCCGGCACAACATTGTATTTTAATCAAGATCCAGCAACAAGCCAACAGGATGACCTTGCAGGCAAAGAATAGTAATTCACCTCGACAACACCTTGTTGTGTTTGCCCCTCAGCTGTTTGGGCTTGTTTATTGAAGGATGACAAAACCCAAGGCAGATGATTTTTAATAGCCATGGAGAGGAGGCGCTGGAGCAGCCATTGTTAGCGCAAACAAAAACAGGACTGGGATTTGATGTAGCCATGTGGTTATGCAGCAAGTAGTTGATGAATGTCAGACAATGGCTAAACCTGTCAAGCTAGTTTATGTCATTGATGGATTGTAACGGCTTTATTTCCTTAAACAGATTAAGTGGTCTCTTGGGTTTCTCCCCACGGGGCTCCTTGGTCTGAGAAACTCCTTGAACCATTTTGTTTTTTTCAATTTTGATCCTAAGAATGACACTCGAGGGAGTAAATAAATTGTGACTTGGGAGTTTGTAAAGGTCACAAGGTGATTGGTTATCATTCTGGTTTCAATAGCCTTAGTACAGTATTACTGTAGGCTAGTGGCTCTTTGTCTTTCATTGTGGAGCCTAAAATGCTTTTACCTTAGAATTATAGCAAAGACAAAAACAAGGAATGATTTAGTCAAACTGTGAAGTGAAATTAATTCAATTCAAATAGATTCACTGCAGGGGCAAAGACAATTTCCTGTGGAGCTAAACTTTGCTGTTCTGACATGATAATTTGTGCCATGACGAACAAACAAAACTAAATGTCTTGACAGTGCTGATATTTTAGGAAACGGAAAGCTAAATAATACAGGAAGCGAAACTAATTGTGGCTTACTAGCTGTGCAGTTGCATCCACTTTTAGGTAACCTGCTGCTCACAGAAGGCTGTTTCCCTGACCGAGAATTTACGGATCATTGAATTATGAGGGTTTTCTTTTCATTCTTGAGCCCTTCTGCCGTTTGTTTTGTTCTTTTGTTTTTGTCAAATGAGTGTATTACACTTATTGTATTTTACACTTATGTAAACATCAGACATCCAGCACCCCCTAAATGCCCGTATTCAATTGAAGGCTTTTATTGTCATGTGTACATAGCTACATAGCTACAGTGTAGATATGTCAATGAAAATCTTAGGTATGCATTGATGCTTTGTTTTATATACCTTGTGTGAATCTCTACTGTCCTGTTTTTCACTCTCTGTTGCTGCTTTAACTCCTCTATTTCCCCACGGGGATATATAAAGGTTCATCTTATCTTTTCTTACATCAATCATTCCTAACCAGTGACAATTTGACTATGAGATTGGCAGTCAAATCAGGCTCCTCAAGTGAAATAGTCTTGATGGAAGTATAACGGACCTACCAGAAGGCACGGTTTGCAGTTATGAGACATGCATCCATGGTATAGATGTATCCTTTTAATAAACTCAGCTAAACCTATTTTCTGGTAGGGACCAAGCCAACCATGGCGATGCCTGGCTATATCCCATGATTTTCTGTTTCGACTCGATTCCATATTCACCAATCTGCTGCCTAAACACTCACAAACAAAACCATAGAGGATTGAACCACTGCTGTACATATGTTCTAACAAATCCACAATTAACTTCTGTTTGAGTTCAATAGCTACAGTGTGTAGCTATTTAAGAATGACCTGGACTGAACAAAACAGATTAGCAGTTTCAGGCTTAGTGTGGTGTGATCAATTCTCCTATTCTTCAGAGAAAATAAGTCCAAATAAACACTGAGGGCATTTTGTTTTGTTATGCATTTCAGAAAAATGAATCAGGTAATGATGACCGGGATGCAGATCAATTGGCCTTTAAATGGATAAAGCTATTTAAAATAGAATATTATAATCTGAGTGAAAGAAACACTCATTTATCAACCAGATGAAAGTTTTTATGTTGAGGTTACATTGAACCCTTTGGTTTTCTAACTGAAGATGCTATAAAACAAACTGCCTCCGTGGCTCACTGAAATGCAACTAGAAAGAAAAACATATTTTCTAACAACAAACCCAAGGATAATTAAAACTGCGGTCGCACTTGTGCGCGCAGTGATGAGCGGGCCCTCGCGTCCGTGCGCCTGTCGGGGAGGGCAGCCGGTTGTCCCGGCGTCAAGCAGACGCACGCGAGTCCTGCGAAATGAGCCGTTTCTCATTTCTATAATTTTCGCTTCCCAGACTCCCAGGTCCTCCGGCAGCGACCCGGAAACGGATGTCGAAGGAAAACAAATTTCTCTAAAGGCTCGTCGAGGATCGATTATCGAGGAGGCTGTCTGGAGGAGCCGTAACCGAGGATACACTGATTTAGAGGAGAGAGGAGTGTCTCTAGAGGAGCTATAACCGAGGGTACACTGAAGTATTCTCCTGAGACGATTTCAGCCAACAGTGATGTTTAAAAGAGGTGTGACGCATGGCTGGACTTCTGTCAACGAAGCACAGCTCTACAAACTGTTCCCGTTGTGATTATAAGTTATTTGAGATGATCAAATGTGCATCAGACTTTC